TTGGTTGTGTTTGTCTCTTTTGGTAGAATGTGACTCATCGTCAGTGACAAATATGGTGTCTCATTAGCCTTGAGTTCACACTGCCTCCCTAGCGCATAGTAGGTGCTCATTGGGTCCTTTGGCTGCGGGAGCAACACATTAACTGTCTTGCAGCCCATGGCTTTTTACTTCTTTAAATTACATAGAGACTCTGAATGACACTGAAGACATTAAAGGTGACAGAGCAGGTTGTAATCTTATTAACAGACATGGGAAATACAAGAGGATGAACTGTGTGTGGGAGAATACAGTTTTGGACATGTTTCTCGAGGCAGAGATATCTTGTCCCAAATAGTTGTAAATGAGAATCTGGAACTTGGCACAGAGGCTGAATTTGGTAGTTTTTATCTTGTCTTTCAAACCTTATGTTAAGCTATTTTTTACTTAATCTTCTTAATGAACTATTCATTATTTCCAAATTTCAGATGAGGAAACTGCTCTAGTACCGCACTTCAACCCAGTATCCTGTAGTCTCCAGGTCCAGTTGATTCTAACTTCAGAATGTCCCCTCTGTTGCTCACTTACTATCCTTGCTCCCCTAGTACAGCCCCTCATTCTTGCTCATGCCTGCCTGTCTTGTCCGTCCAGCCTTCAAATAGCCACCATTTTTATCCTGGTTGCATCATATACAACTCACACCCCCCACCATTTTCTCTACTTCCCCATTGGAGTGCTGTGTCCAGAGCCTGTAGCATGGTTTTCCAGAACAGCTGTAGGTCATACCCACCCACCTTTCCACGACTTAGCCCTCCCCTGCTACTTCTGCGCTGGACTCCATTAGGTTCTCCAGGAGCCGGTTCGTGACTTTACCTCTGCTGCTGGAGAACCAAATGCTTTCCCCCTGCCCTGCAAGCCTTAAAGGAAATGTGACCCCCCTTGGTGTTGTTTTCCTTTCTCTTGAGTTTTCCATAACACTTTACTTTTTTTCTTCTTTTTTTTCTCTTTATGAAAACGAGAGAGGGAGGGAACAGGAGAGAGGCAGAGATAGGTATTCTTGACAGTGTCTTACTATGTCACAGTGCTCCTGCCCCAGCCACCCAATTAGCTAGGATTACAGGCATGCACATCTGCCCGGCATATTCAGGTTGGCCTCCCATGCTACTTCCAGCTTCCCAAGCCGTGATGCTACCTGCGCACCACTGTGGCTGGGCTGCCTTTGCTTTTGGAAATACATATTTCTGTCCATCTTGTGTGATCACTTGTCATCAGTTGGCTTATCAGTGACTCCTCAGGCTTCCAAACACTTGAGAGTGCGTCTTCATCTTTTCATGTGCATATCCAGGAATTATTAATCAAGTGATTGAATAAATAATGAATATGAATGAATAAATAAGAATGCATGGAAGAATGGTTTTCTTTAGGTGCCAGAAGTAGTTTTCTTTCGAAGTATTCTACTCTTTCCTGGATAACTTTTACTAATTTGAGTATAATATTTACTATGACATCATTAGAAAATATGAACTCATGTAAAAAATGTATATTGTGCTAACATTTTAGAATCACCTCTAGATAATGTTTCTGTATTTCACAATATTTCTCTAAGTCTAGTGTATAAATAACTCATAACTTACAGACGGTGAAACCACATGTAGCAGTACATATTTGTTTTCTTCTCTGACCAGGAGGGCATATCGAGACAAATTGAAGTTTTGGACCCATTGTGTACTAGCAACATTGATTATGTTTACTGTATTCTCGTTTTTTGCTGAACAGGTAAGTTTTATATATTTTATAGTAGTACTAAATAGTATTTCTTGGTATATTGGCATTTAAATCTTTTAGAAAATGATGGCTTATGTGTGGGCAAAGCCCTACTTCCTCCTCTTGAAGGAGTGGCTAGTCTTACCTGAATGGGGAGAAGGAAGACAAGAAGAACAATAGGAATCCCAATGGAAACCATAAAGAACACATTTTTTTCCCATTGAAACCATTATATGGTGGATAGGTTGAATATTTCAAATATATCATTAATAAACTATTTCTATGAGGGAAAAAAAGCCAAGTACTAAACTACTACATAACACTTTTCATTACAACTCATTTATAAATTGATATTACTTGTATTCTCAAAGATTGTTGTTAGGTTAAGAAAAAATGTTGATGGGGTTTTAAATAACCAAATGGTGTTTTTGTTTGTTTGTTTGTTTGTTTTTTAAAATAGTCTATCCAGGAGCCACCAGGTGGTTTGTTAAGGCACTGGACTCCCACTTGACTGACCACGGTTCAAGTCCTGGACCTGGCAGCTTCAAAATCACACTGGGTATGTGTGCAATCCTGTGTGCCCAAAATCTCAAGAGGAGAATAGAGGATTATGGTGTGGCCATCCCCTCAGGGGGTGATTTCTCACATTCCCTCTCTCTATGTCTGTTTCTCTGGCAAGCACATGTGCCCTATGTCAAAAGATATTTCAAACAAACAAACAACAATAAAAAAAATATATCTGTCTTAAAAATGCAGTCATTTCTAAACCCAGAGGGTGTATCTTAATACCTAAATAAAGCCAGTTTACTTCAGTAGAGACTCAACAGACGTCTTGAAAGCAAGTATGTTTGGTAATAGCCGTGTAAAAAGCTGTAGTCATAGGTCTTAGAAAAATGAAGCATGGGTCAAAATAATATTAATCCTCTTGAGTCTTTTTGTGGGCATATATGTCTTTAGGCATTAACCCTATAAAACTAATAAAATCAGTGGTTGGTTTTATTTTGGAGGAGGAGTTTTAAAAACTTGTTTGTTGTCTTTTTTTCTTAAAAATTTTTGTGAGGAGCGCATATACTTGCCAGAGAGAAACAGAGAGATTGAGAGAGGGAAAGTGAGAGGGAAAGTGAGAACCCCCATCCCTTCAAGGCATGCTGCAATCCCTTCTCCTCCATTTTCCCCCTTTTGGGATTTTGGGCACACATGCACACACACATACCTAGAGTGTTTTTTCAGGTTCTTGGATCTGGGACTTTAACTGCAAAGTTAACCATGTGGGATCCAGCTGCCTTAACTACTGTGTCACTGGGTGACCCTACTGTCTGTTTTAATTTATGTGGAAGAGTACGGTAATGATTAAAGACATGGCTCTCTGAAAGAAAGTTTGACGTGCTTATATTCTTTTACCAACAGGGAGAATTAAAATGTATTTTCTGTCTTTCATTCAGTTAATCGCACTTAAGCGGAAGATATTTCCCAGAAGGCGGATACACAAAGAAGCTAGTCCTGATCGAATCAGGGTATAGAAGATCTTTATTTGAAAATCATCTACCTCAGCCTTTACTGAGCATTTTAAACCTCAGCTTCACAGAGGTGTCTTTGCAATATGATGCGTAACCAACTCGGCCTAAAGAAGGAAAAGCATCCAGTACCATGTGTACTGTTTTGTGGTGTGAAAATAGTCCATTGACCAAGAATTATTTAAACCAACACACTGAGAAATCATGTGTTGAACAGCCTGAACTGGTTTTACTTTTAAAATATTGCTTACGGACCCGTCATCCTCTTTATAAAAAGGCTCATTGATGAGACACAGACAGAGCTGCTCATTTCCCACAGCAATCACTGCAGACTAACTTTTATATGAGAAGCTTAGGCCAGCTTGAGAGCAACTGTTAAGAGGTCCCAGTCTTTGCATTCCAAAGCCTTTTGCTATAGATTTATGGTGTTTCTCCCCTCTTTTTTTCCAGTTCCTGTTTTCAAAATAAGTAGTTATGAAGTTAACTAGCTTTTTGCTTCTGAAAATAACAAATGGGGATGTCTAGACATGTTTTTATTGGCATTATTAAAATAATGCAGCGATATCACTTCCTATTGACAATAACTAAATTATAGATTTTATTAATGTTTAAAACTCTTTAAAGTGGTCTTAGGCCACAAATAACTACTGAGGAGCTCACTGACTGACATGTGAACTTTGCACTTGTTTCTTCAGTCCCTAAGACTACTGGGATGTTGTGTACAGGCCTAATTGTAAAGGGCTAAAGTTAAGTAGCAGTGCTACTTACCAGATGTAATTATGTTTTGAAATGTACATATTCAAAACAGAAGTGCCTCATTTTAGAAATGAGTAGTGCTGATGGCGCTGGCACATTACAGTGGTGTCTTGTTTAATACTCATCAGCATATTCATAGCTATCTCTCACCATTGGTTTTGTATTGTACAGTGGTCAGCAAACTGTTTCTGTAAAAGGCCAGATAGTAAGTAATAGCAAGCTGCATGGGTCTCTGTCACATATTCTTCCTGTAGTTTTGTTTAGTGAGTTACTTTTTGTTTTGTTTTTAATAGCCCTTTAAAATGTAAAAACCGTATTTAGCTTGCAGCTGTGCAAAAGCAGGCCATCAGCTGGATTTAACATATAGGCCATCATTTGCTGACCATTGAGAATTAGTATTTTTACATTTGGGTAAACCCTGATGTTCAGCCATATTTTGTTTATGTCATTATACAATAGACTTGTGGAGACCCGATTCCATGGTTCCTTTTTGAACTGTAACAGGTATTTTAGATCATGATCTCAACAGTATTCTTTAAAAATGGCACACATTTTGTAAAAAGAACTTGAAATGTAAATACTGTATTTGTGCTGTGAGAGTTAAGTATTTCAAAATCTGAAGTCTCATAAAATGTTAAATTTTTTTTGTCTGATGCTTTGACTTTTAAATCCTTTGAGTATGGAGTTTATTATTATCTAAATGCAATCATCACTTGGATGCCTATATAGTGTATCAGGTTCTACTGAACACTGATAAAATTAAGTAGAAAGTAGTGTAAGGGGAAGTTAGTATTATAAGATACTGGAGCATATTGATTTAGAAAGTGGGAAATAAATTCTAAATGGAATTTACCATATGGTAAAAAATTGGGAGCTATCTGGGTATCATTTTAAAAGCAAATAATTTATTCTGGGAAGATTATAGAGCAACAAATATTTCGGTATAATGGAGGATTCTGTGGTTAGATGAACTTAGTCCATACTAATTAGGAGCTTAATAATGGTATGGAAAATAGGATCATAAATTATTGACAGAATCAGTAGAATAGAGAGACACCAGAAGCTGAGTACAGACAGTCTCATAGTAGTTTGACTTACAACTTTTTAACTTTGCAGTGGATTTATTGAGATATAATCTTATTATAGGTTGAAGGTTATCTGGATTTATGATGGTTCAATTAAAAATTTTTAGTTTTGGTTAGCCAGTAGCGTGGTTGCTAAGGCAGCTAAATCCTACATGGCCAATTGTGCAGTTAAGTCCTGGATGCTATGTCCCAAAAAACATGTCAGGTGCATGTGCATGTGTGCCCCAAATTCTGGAAGGATGAAGAATTGGAGAAGGGACTGCAACATGACCATCCCCCATAGGCTTGTTTTCTTATTACCACCCCTCCTCCCCCTGCCCTATCTCTGATAAGCACACACACCCCCTCTGGCAAATTTTATTATAAAGATAACAATTTTTTGACTTTATGATGGGCTTATAGGGAATTTTCATAATATATTTTCAACTTGAGATATTTTCAACTTACATTGAGAATTGGCATATAATCCCATCATAAATTGAACATCTATACTCAAATGGTCTTCAGAACTAAAGTTTGTTTATTTATGTTTATTCATGAGAGGACACATGTACATGCTCATGTGAGCAAAAGAGATAAACAAGAAATGATCGTCTTCCACAGCATCTGGTCACACCGTAATCCTTTTCCTCCAGTCTTCCAGCCCTCTGGCCCTTCAGATAATGGGCACTTGCCTGCACACCTGGCATGTTTCAGGCTGACTGGGCTAGAGGGTTTGAACCACAGTTGCCATGCGGGATCTGACTCCTTTTGAGCAGCATATTACTGCTTTGCCACAGAGCCAGCCTAGTCTTCAGACTCTTTAAAAAAAATTCTTGTACCTGCTTGAGGAAAAATCTGGTACAGCAGATAGCCTCTGTAAGAAGGACTGTTGGTCAACCATTCATCCCTGCCTCTTTCTGCACAGCAGCCTTTCTCTTCATGTTGAGGACATGGCAGTTCTTGGCTCACACAACCGAGACAGGAAGGGACATTCCTTTCTGGCTCTAATATAGAAAAGCCTGATGAGGGATACTGTAATTGGCTCAGTCTGGGATTCGTGCCTATGTTTGTGGCTAGCGGGAAGAAAATTTTCAAAAGGAAAAGGGCTAGGCTGCCCAACCTAAACTTTAGCTTCACAGAATGAAGATTGGGTGCATATGGATGACCAAGTTCCTGGATGAATTGCTCAAGTTGAAGATAAGTTGCCATACTTGAAAGCAACTGGAAAAATCAAATCTGTTTGATTAGAATAATGAACCTGATTTGGCCCCATGGGCTAGTGGTTAAGGGAACCAGATCCCACATGACCAACACAGCGTGGCTTGAAAAACCATGCTGGGCACATGTGTGTACATGCCCCAAATCCCAACAGGATGGAGAAATGGAAGAGAAATGATAGTGCCATGACCATCCCCCACAAGGGGATGTTTTCTCCCTCTCTCACTTTCTCTTTCTGGAAAGCACACACGCTCTCTGATGATGGGGGAAAAAAAGAAAAGAAAGGAAAGAATGGTGAACCTTGTAAATTTTTCATGAATGAAAGGATTCAAAGAAATGTTTGTAAAAGCATTAATACGATACCTGTGATATAATAAATACTCCATAAATGGTGGCTATCATGATCCCTGTTTGGTCCTAGTTGTGATCTTCCTGCTTTCCACCCTCCAGCCAACTTCAATATTGGGTTCATAATGGGTCAGCCATATTGCATTTTCTTAGATGTGCTGTGTACTTTTATATCTTCATAACTTCATAGATGGTATTCTTATTGCTGGACCTATCTTTTCCTTTCTAATCCATCTATTAAACTACTCATACCGCAAGGTCCAGCCCTAGTAGTTCATCTAGTAAGAAATTTTCTGAGATTGACTATATAACCTGAGTTCTTTGTGACATGAATAAAGAAACAAAGGATGTAATATTTAGGCTTTTAATACCTTGATGAGATTCTACACCACCGGTTACTAAAGATAGTGGGAAAATGTTTTGCCAGACATCCAGATAATTGCATTAAATGTGTGAAGAAATATATGGAAAGTATTAGCAAAGTATGTAGTCTTGTAAGAATTAGTACCAACATGTCATGAATATAGGTGTGTCTGTTATAAATTATCCATACGTCACGTGGTTAAGCCCTTGGTGATATCTCCAGATATGCTCTTTATAATAGTAAAATGGCAAGGTGATGGAGATCAATCTTGGGGAATTTTCACCATGAATATAGGAGGAAAATGATAGATGTATCTTCAGTAAGGGTCACTGTAAGAGAAAACACAACCCATTCTTTCTCATGAGTATGTCTTACTGGAAGGAATCCAGGAGTCATCATCAGTCATTCTGTACCCATACACTGATGTGAACAAGTGTGAAATGCTGAGAATCACAAGGGAGAGGATTTAAAGCAAGACAATAAACAGAGTCCAGTCAGAGGCATGGTGATTAAGGCAGCTGGGCCCCACGTAACTGTATGTGTGGTTTGAGTCTCAGGCTCTATCAGCTTGAGAAACATGCTGGGTTTGTAAGAGTATGCCAAAGGAGAATGGAGGAGAAGGGATTGTGATGTGGATATTCTCTTGGTGATGATTGTCCCTCTCACTGTCTCTGGCAAGTGCACACACCCTATTGCAAAAACCTTTAAAAAAAAAAAAAAGAATCAGTAAACATGGTTATTCTGAACCTGTTAAACTAGGCAGTCTAAAAGTGACGCGTCCATAAAACCCTAAAGACATTGTTTCCAAATCTTAGAGAAAAGAGGTAAAGTAAAAATGATTGCAAAGCTGCGGGAACCAGCAGTTAGCATAATGGCTATGTCGCTGGACTCCCATGTAGTCGACCGCAGTTCGCGTCCTGGACCCGGTGGCTTAAAACTCACGCCGGGCGCGTGTGCGTGCGTGCCCAAGATCCCAAGAGGAGAATGGAAGAGAAGGGATTGCGGCGTGACCATCCCCCCCTGGGGGGTGATTTCTCGCTTTCTGTCTCTAAGTCTCTCTGTCGGCCAGCGCATGCGCTCTATAGCGAAAACCTCTCAAAAAAAAATAAATAAATAAAAGATTGCAAAGCTGGTAGCAAACTAAGACATATACATAATTGAGATATATTTTTAATTATTTTGGGGAAATACATATATGCACAGAAAATAAAGAAAAGGAATAGTACTCCCAATTTTAAATTGTGTATTATCTCCAGGTAGTATGATTATAAATGAATTTTATTTACTCCATAAGTTATATCTTCAAAAAATTGTTTTACAATGGATATTTATTACTTTTTAACTAGAACAACAACTTAACTTAAAAATTTTAGGTAAATTTTTTAATAATGCATATTAAATGTTTAGTGGACAGTAAAATGCATTTTATTAAAAAATCCATAAAATATTCTTGGCTTCATTATAAGAAACTTTGTGGTAAAGCAGAGTCATCCGAATTCTCATTTTTGTTTTTCTTAATTGCCAGAATGTGTGTGTGCTCACCAGAGAAAGACAGAGAGACCAAGATGGAGAGGGAGAAAGCTTCCCCTCAATGGGGCATTCTCACAGCATGGTCCTTTCTCCATTTCTCCATTCTGCTGGGATTTTGGGCATGTATGCACACATACTCAGCATGTTTTTCAAGCCTCTAGAGCTGGGACTCGAAACATGGTCAGTCAGCCATGTGAGATCTGGCTTCCTTGGTTTTTTTTTTTTTTTTCCCAGAGGTTTTTGTTATAGGGTGCATGCACTCGCCAGAGAGACAGAAAGCGAGAAATCACCCTGGGACGGCCACGCCACAATCACTTCTCCATTCTCCTCTTGGGATCTTGGGCACGCACGCACACGTGCCCAGCGTGAGTTTAAGCCACGCTGGGATTGGAACTGCAGTTGACCACATGGGAGTCCAGCGACATAGCCAGTCCGCTAACTGCTGGTCCCTTTTGTTTTTATATAGTAGTTTAAGGATTAAAATTAGAAACGTGAGTATATATCAGTTCTCATTTGGAGCTAGGAAAGTCAAAAAGAGAACAGTCCAATTTTTAATATCCTCAGAGCAGATAATTTATATTATATATTATATTATAATTTTAAGAAGTTTTTTGCTATGGGATGTGTGTGTTCATTGGAGAAACAGAGACAGAAAGTGAGAAATCACTTCTCAGGGGGCATTGCCACACTGCAATCCCTTCTCTCCATTCTCCTGTCAGGACTTTGGGCATGCATGCACACATGCCCAGCATGTTTCCAGCTTCTGGATTGAGGACTTGAACCACAATCTGTCATGTGGGAGTCTCGTGCCTTAATCACCATGTAACCTAATGATCCTTCCCATTTGTTTATTTCCTGTAGCCAACTCATTCTCCCTAGTTAACCATTTTAAACCTTTTCTATTCAACCTCCAACTCTAATACCTTCCTCTCAACTTCACACTGTATTTGGTCCTCTTTTTTATTTCTCCCCCTTCAGAAAATTATTCAGAATGAAACCCCCAAAACTTCTACCATCAGATCTTCCTATGTCTCTAAACATTTCCTCTTATTCCTTTTTTTAAAAATTAATTAATTATTTTTAGGTTTTGGCCATAGGGTGCATGTGTATGCTCACAGGAGAGAGAAGAGGGAAAGTGAGAAATCACCCTTCCCTGGAGTATGACCACACTACAGTCCCTTCTCCATTGCATTCTCCTCTCAGAATTTTGGAATTCGAGGCATGAATGCATTTGCCCAGAGTCATTTTCAAGCTGCCAGATTTAGGACTCAAACCGTGGGAGACCACACCACCTGCTGGCTCCTCCTGTTTTTCATTTTTTAGTTTTCTAACATTTGAGAAAATAAGGCAATAATATTTGTAAGCCAGCAGATGGAGATGTTGCACTGTCCTTGTTAATGTGACAAGTCAAATTGGTGGTTCAAATTTCAATGAGTATGAGAATAACCTGGAGAAGTATTTAAAATCCGGATTTCTCAGTCCCCACCCACAGAGTTCATTTGATAGGCTTTGGATGGGGCCTGAGAATCTCCATTTAAAACCCCACTCTACCCCATTCCTCATGCTGTACCTCATCCTCCCCCTAAGTGATCTTGATACACTCTGGTTCATGAAACACATTTTAGAAACTGATACTTGAAGCCATGTGCATGTAACATTTAGAGAAATATACACTGAGAAGAGAGCTGATTAAAACCAAATTCTGGTGAACTCCAACATGGGTCCTTTAAAGGAGGAAGAGCTAGCAAAGATACTGAGAAGTTGCCAGGATAAAAAGAGGGTAACAGGAGAATGTGTAGCTAGACCAGGCAAAGGAAGATATGACTGAGGGAGAAAAAAAGAATAGTTGACAGTCCCAGTTGACGGTTGCTAAGAATCAAGTGAGATGACCACAACATGTCCATTTTGACTTATCAACATGGAGGTCACTGGAAACGTTAGTGTGATAACTAATTTGGAGGAATGGTAGGGGCCAAAGTTAGTTTAAATGGATTAAAAAGTCCATGGGAGGGGAGTAAATTGAGACAAGAAGATCAAATTATTTTTTAGAACTTCAATTGCTAAGAGAAGGAGATAGGAGAGTGGTAGTTGGTTTGGAAATAAGACCCAAAGATTTTTTTTCTTTTAAGTTCTGAGAGATTTAAATATTTGTAAATTAATGGGAAAGATGGAGCACAGAAAGAGAGCCTGTAGATACAGGAGAGAGAACTAATGGATTCCCACATGGCATAGTGGTTACATTACTGGACTCTCACCTGGTTGACTGCAGTCCAAGTCCTGGACCTGGTGACTTGAAACTCTCACCAGGTACAGAGAAGAATGGAGAAGGGATTGTGGTGTGGCCATCCTCTGGGGGTGGGGGGTGATTTTTCACTTTATCTCCCTGGTGGGCACATGTGCCCTATAGCAAACAACAACAAGCTCTTAAAAACAAAACAAAACAAAACCAGGCCAATGGGAAGGAAGAAAAAGTGGAGAAGAGATGAAGAGGTGTAGGCAGGTGAGCAAAATAGAGTGGGAGAGAAAGGGCAGCTGCTAGATCTCTTGAGGGAACGATAGCTCAGGTAAAGGAAAATGTCTAGGATGTTGTTCTGTCTGAAGGCCAAGTGTACCTCACTAAACCTTCCTATTGACAGGCAGAACTGGATGGGACAACACATGAAATACTGTTCTCTAGCCAGCATGAGAGTAGGGACCACACAGGTCCTTCTAAACCAGTCTGTGCAAGCAGTTAGCTTTTTGATTAAATAGCTGCCAACCTCTGAGAGAGTTTTTGAGAAATACTTCCTTTAAAACTCAGAAATCTGTTGTGATATTTACATCTTCCAAGTTAAGTCTTTTTCTTTCTTTTTTTCATTGTCAGAAGGTACATGCACTTGCCAGAGGAGAAGAGAAAGCAACCCACAATGGTTTATGGTCATGCCATAATTCTTTTTCCTCTGTTTCTCCATTGTGTCAGAATTTTTGGGCATGCACACACATGTACCTACCCTGTTTTTTATGCTGCTGGGGCTGGGACTCCAACCAAGGTTTGTCATGTGGAATTAGCTCCCTATGCTCTGTACCTAACAATTGTGCTATGGGACTGGCCCCTGAGTAACTTATTTTTGAAAGAACTGTGACTTTTTATATCTAAAATTTATATTTGTTAGTAAAATATCTACTTACATTTTTATGATTGAAACATTACTTTTTATGTTTATTAAGTATATCTGGCACTGTTTGGCCTTTATATAGTTGATAATCAGAAGATAGTATACCAGTGACTCAGAAAATACCCATTAAAATATTAATGTTGATGGCTTATATTTATTATTTACTATGTGTTACTGAGTGCCTACCAATATTTTAATACAGTATTTCACCTTTTTCATTTTTAAATAATTATTTATTAAATTTTATTTATTCATTCATTTATTTTTAATTTGACAGAGAGAGAGAGAAAGAGGGTAAGTGAGAAAGCAAGCCACCAGGTCCGAGACTCAAACCGTGGTCAGCTACGTGGGAATGTCCAGCACCTTAACCACCATGTCACTTGCTGGTCTCACATTATTTTACCTTTTAAAATCTAATCTATTAGGTCATCAGGAAAGTCATGACATATTTTTCTATGCAAAAATAGGTCTGATTTTCCCAACAACCCGATACTATGAGATACTGTTATTATTCTCATACGTTAGTGAAGAAAGAAATGGAGGCTTAAAAAAATCAAGCAATTTGCCCAAAGTACTCAGTGGCAGAATCTATGGTAATTTTATTTTGTGCTGCATTTTCATATAATGTTTTAAACCATTTTCAGTTTCTCCTTGAATAATATTTGAATCCTAACTCTGGCTGCCTGAAAAACACACCAAACTTTTGTGCATATGTGCTCAAAATCTTGATGGGATAGAGAAATTGAGGAATGGGAAGTGTGGTACGGCCATGCTGCATTTGGGGGATGCTTTCTTTGTCTTGCTCTCTCTCTGTCTCTCTCTGGTAAGCACCTGTACCCTGTGACAATAAAAAATAATAATAACAAATAAGACTGCACTGAAAAACTTACTTTAAAAAAAAGGAAAAGAAAAAAATAATACAGAAAGTTCACGTAGGAGTTATTGCAGGAATCAGGAATGCAAAGATGGATTTTTAAGACTTAAGGTGAAAGGGCTAACAGGTGGTATGGTGGTGAGGGCACTGTACTCCCACATGGGCCACCACAGTTCGAGTTCGGGACCTGGTGACTTGCTTTCTCACTTTCCCTCTCTGTCTCTCTCTCTCTCTAGTCAAATTTTTAAAAAAATAATAATAACAATAAATAAGAATAAACATAATTCTAAAAAAAAACTTCAGGGAAAAGATAAATTTCTTTGAAAAGACAGAAACAATCATAAAGATTGATACCTAGAATATATAAAAACCTAAAAATCAATAAGAAACACAATCATCTAGGTAAGAAATGAGCTAAAGACTCAAATAGATATTTTAAGAAAAAGCAAATGCAAATGGTCAGTAGGCATAAAAGATCTTAATCTTATGAATAATTGGACAATTATCAAAGAAGACATCACTTACTGAGTGGTAAGATTAAGAAATCTGAGACCAGCAGGTGGCATAATGGTTACATTGCTGGACTCCCACATAATCAAGCACGGTTCAAGTCTCAAACCCAGTGGCTTAAAACTCATGTCAAGCACACCTGCATGCCTTCCCAAGATCCTGAGAGGAGAACGAAGGAGAAGGGATTGCTCTATGGTCATCGCCCCTGGGGAGTGATGTCTCACTTTCTGTCTCTCTATGGAGAGTACACATGCCCTATAGCAAAAATCTCTCTCTAAAATAAAAGAAAAAAAATCTATCCTAAGTGATGATGAATATATGTAACAAAAAGAACTCATTCTGTTGGTGGCAGTGTAAACTGAGTGAGAACAATTTGAATATCTGAATACACTCAGCCTATGATCTAGCAACTAGATACACTATAAAAATTTTAGCGCATATGCAAGAGATTAGAATATTCAAAGTAGCATTGTTTATATTAACTGTAATCTGAAAATAATCCTTAAATCCATTGACAAGAAAATCAATGAAGGGACCAGCAGTTAGCGTAATGGCTATGTCGCTGGACTCCCATGTAGTCGACCGTGGTTCCAGTCCTGGACCAGGTGGCTTAAATTTACACCTGGCACGTGTGTATGCGTGCCCAAGATCGCGAGAGGGTAATGGAAGAGAAGGGATTGTGGTGTGGACATCCCCCCGGGGGTGATTTCTCGCTTTCTGTCTCTGTCTTTCTGGCGAGTGCTTACTCGCTATGGCAAAAACCTCTCCAAAAAAAAAAAAAAAAAATGTTATGGAAAAGAAAAACCCCCAAAAAAAAAAAAAAAAAAAATCAATGAATAAATTGTGGGATAGAGTCACAGTGGAATATCATACAGATGAAAAAATGAAGGAATTATGGCTACATGTAATAATACAGATTTTTCTAGGGATATAATGCTGAGTAAAAAAGTGTCTGAATGCTACATAGACTATGGTAAAAAAAAAAAAAAATAGGTGTATGATTGTTTATATGTAATGTCCAGGACAGAGAAATCCAGGGACGAAAAATGGATTAATGCTTGTCAGGGGTCGGGAGAATAGGGAGATTGCTAGTGGGGACAGGGTCTGCGTTTTGGGGTGATAGAATGTTGTGAAATTAAGATGGCGATGATGGCTACAAAACTGAGTGTACTAAATTCCACTAAATTGTACTCTGTCAACAGTAAATGAGGAAAGTGAGGGAGGGGGGAGGGAAGATGTAAGTGAACGGACTTCCTGAGGAGATGCTGTGAATATTGTTTAAAAAAAAAACCTGCTTCACAAATTAGGTAGTATGCTTCTCATGTTTCAAAATTGAGTTATTTTGCAACTTTCAAGACTATACAAATCTAAGACTTAAAACAAAAACTAGAAAGCAACTCATCAGAAATCTACCAGCAGCAGGCGCCGACGCCCGCAAAGCATCCTGGGCTCACTATTTCCCGCGCAATCGCCCCCTAGGGGCGGGGCCTGCGCATATCAAGCACGCATGCGTGCACAGAGGCCAGCCAATCAGCGATGCTCTAGGTGAGGCGACTGGCTTTTTTTCCGGCTTGAATTTCCAAGTTTCCTCAGAAGCGTCGTGGAAGCGAAGCGAGAAGGATTAGGTGAGGAGAAGGGTGGAGGGCATTGGAGTTGGGAACTGACATTGGTCAGGAGACCTGTAACTGTGGTCCTTGGCTTCTGGGAGTTTTTTTCTAGGTGTGAACAGAGGAGTACTTTGTCCAGTGCGGGAATTGTGGGCAGAGGCTGTTCTTGACCGGTGAGGTAAAAATCTTCCCTGTTGGAAAGAATTATTTGGGGCCTCTGTGAGGAAAATGGAGGCAACGAACCTGAGGGCAGGGCCTTGAGTGAATAAGGGATAGGTAGAAATCAGGTGGGGTGAGCCCGTCTGAATCCTGCCTCCAGGGCCTTAAGGGCAAGGTTTGTGGGAGGAGTGAGGCCGGGGTGGGGGAGGATGAGGGGGCACTGCTCTCCCCGCCCGCTCCAGTCCCTTCCGAAACTGGTAAAATGAACTGAGGATTACTCTTCATTTGACCTCCATATGTATGTTGTGGAAATCATATATAGACATTAATTTCCTAGGCTCAGATCGCAGGTTGTGTTTTTTTAATTTTTAATTTATATTTTGGGAGTGCTTTTGATTTATCCTGCTAGCAACCACAGTTTAACTTTGTGACTGAGATGCAGTCTAGATTAGCCCAAATATAGCCAAAATTTAAATAACACAGAGGTGGGACTAAAATCAAAATCTGCCAGTCCCCAGATATGAACTGTCCATCACAGCACATTTGCAGGTCAGAGTTGACACTACTCTTATCCTCATTTTCTTTGACAAATGTCATTATCTTTACTAACTTTTTAGTCTAATAAGGACATTTAAAATTTTATTCAATTAGGATCATTCTTATTTGATACTTAAATGTTTACCAGTTTGTTTAAGTGATGATTTTGTATTCAAAAGTATTTAATAGTGTTTTTCGAATCCCAGACTCATTGGCCTGATAAAATGTGCAGAGCAGAAGCCCCAGATCCCAGAAGGATGGTAAAATAAAATAGAGAGGATCGCAGCATGACTGCATGCACCCCATTGGAAGGTCTCTCCTGCATGCTCAAGCTCTATTTTTTGCTCTCTGGCAGTTGCATAAGACCCTTGGCAATTAAAAAAAGATATTTTTCTATTTTTGGTCTTTGTCTCTTTTAATTTTTTTTGTAGGTGTGTGTTCTCACTGGAGTCAGAGAGAGAAAGCAAATGAGCACCCCTAATCCCAAGGAGAGAAGGCATACTACAGTCCCCTCTCTTCCACTCTCCTCAGTATTTTGGACATGCACAAATATGTACCTGGTACATTTTTCAAGCCACTGGGTCTGGGACTTGAGCCTCACAGTTGGCCATGTGAAATCCAGCCACCTTAACCTCCACCTTAACCTGGCTGACTCTGTCTTTGTCTTTTAATTAAAATTTTTTTTTTAAGTATCATTGATAAAATTTTTGAAAAATAATGTTTTTGAAGTCAGGAAACATCTGAATATGCTGCCCTCTGGAAGAAAGCATTCAGTGAAATCTGGGAAGTCATCATTAGAGGATCAGGTTATAACTTATGACTATGAGAAAGAAGATAAAAAAGGTCTGAGTGGTTCAGAGGAGGATATCACTGAAGGTACTGTATATTTAATGTTAGGCAGTGATTATTTGCTACAGTTTTGAACTCAGTACATTTAAAACTGTAATACAATTATTTGTAAAGTATTTTCATTCTTCCATTACTTTGTTTTTAACTGATATTCATACCCAGTATCAGAGATAGAGAAGTTTACATAGTATCTGTTGCCCCTGAAATCATTATTCTTACGATGTAGGATAAATACAGTATCTTGAAATAAACCAAGAAGACTTAAAAAATTGTTCTGAGTCTTGATGTAGGACAGTGAGGTCTTGAATCTTTATTTAACTTCATCTAGCTTAAAGAGAAATATTGCATGTATGTCTTAAAAAAATTGTTGGCAAAAAGAGTAAAATTCCTCAAAATGAAGATATTACTTCATTAAAGTTAACCAAAACAGAATAATTTCAAAAGTGTTTTTCCTTTTTTATTGTCAATACAGGAAAGACTCCAGTAATTGAAAAGCATGGGAAAAAAAGATGTTCTACAGGATTAGTTGAAGATGTGGGGTAATATTTTCAAAATAATTTCTCCTGTTAAAATATTTCAAGTAAATTTTACATTGGTTGTAAAAATATTTGACAGGGGATATATCTTCCAAAGTAAGAATGATATTTTATAGATCCTTAACTAAAAGTTTTTTAAATGTAATTTCTTCGCAGGGGTGAAGTTCAGAATATGTTAGAAAGATTTGGAGGTATGTTTTCTCAGATATTGTTGAATTGTTTTAAATTCTATAACATATATAGGGGAAGTGTTAATCCATGGATTATAAGACTATTATTTAATGCCTTGTTAAGTGTAGGATTTTGTATATTTGTGATTTAGTTTCATAGATTTACTTCCTTACTTCTTCCAAGATGTGAAGAATCAGAATTGTGCTTTTATCATGCATGTGAATTTAATGGACTATAGCATTCAAAGAAATAGATGGGAATAGTCTTTACTTCTTTGTGTTCGCAAACTTAGTGATACACACACACACACACACAGGTGCATCTGTATATATATTAACTTTTCATTTTCACAAATTAGTTATTTTCTAGGACTTTTCCTATATTCTTTAGGTAGGAGAGTATAAATTCCTCTAGAATAGCTCTTATTTTTATTTAATAAAGTATATATCAGTAGTTGAGAACCAAAGACAACTTTGCTAAGTACTGAGGTATTTATAATCAGATCCAAGCATTCGTAAGTTTTTAGGATGATAAATATCAGTTATATTACTTCAGTTTTGTTAGGGGATAGTACTCTTTAAATGACTTAATATTTGGCTTCTCTATATGGATTATTCATACAATCATATCTTTTTTGAGAGCTTTGCTCTATTTGGTAGTGACAAAATGCTTGTTATAATCTGTTTCATAATTTTTAAATTTTTTTTTACTTTATTTATCTATTTTAATTTGACCAGAGAGGGACAGAGCAAGAGAGAAAGAGAGAGAGAGATAGTAAGACAGGAAGCCACCAGTTCCAGGACTCGAGCTGTGGTCTGCCATGTGAGAGAGAGTCCAGCACCCTTAACCACCATGCCACCTGCCGGTCCCTGTTTTATAAATTATTATAGATGATATGTATGTAATAGTGCAACTCCATCATGATCATGGAAAGAAATGTTTATAACACAAAGGCTTATGTTTAATAAAGCATTATTTGAAGTATTAAAATTTCATGAAATTAAATATTTATTGGTAAGAATCTCCTATCAAAAGCTCCACAGAAGTATTTAAAAATATTCTTAAATGAGTTTATCTAGATATTAAACTATGATTTTTCTGTCTTTCATCTTATTGTCTTAGTAAAAAATATCTAAAAGTATTATAGATTATATTTTAAAAATTATTTTCTTGTACTTTCTCCCTTATTATAGCCCATTTTTTAAAGTACTTTTGTGTTTTATATGAGTTCTAGTAATAATTCATCTAAACCTGTCCTTTCAGTGGGAGCCTATTCTATAAGTTAAGGACAATTTAGCTTTTATTGGTGTTTTCTCATGAAATAGTCTGCTCTTGAGCTTTTTACATTTTTTAAGAGAATTATTTCCCTTATTTATTATTATTGTGATTTTTAATTTGACCATAGCAAGACACACACACACACACACACACATACAGAGAGAGAAAGCAAGCAAGCCAGCATCCAGGTTCGGGACTTGAACCATGGTCAATCATGTGGGAATCCAGCACCTTTAATCTCCATGCCACCTGCTGGCTCTAGCTTTTATTTATGCACTCATTATTTATTTATTTTTTTGTATTTTGCTAGAGGGTGTGTGCAGACACCAGACAGAGATGGAGAGATGGAAAATGAGAAAGCACCCCCTGTGGAAATGTCCATGCCGCAATCCCTTCTCCTCCATTTCTCCTTTTGGGATTTTGGTCACACGCACATGTAACGAGTTTTTTCAAGCTGCTAGGTCTAGAATTCAAACCAGGTGGTCGGCTATGCGGGATCCAGCCCCTAATTACCATGCCACCAGCTAACACATTAGTTCTTTTTTCTTATCCCTAAATTAAATTATCTCCGGTTTAGGAAAATTAGAATTGGGATACTACTAGCTGAAACTTCTCTCAGAAACAATAGTAAGCAGATAATACTGTTTTTTGAAATTATGCCTATGTTTACATGTCATTTCTATATTATTGAACTAACTTTATCCATATTTACTTGAATATATGGGAACAAAATTTTCAACATTAAATTTTAATGAATATTTATTTTCAATATAGCTGACATTAACAAGGCTCTTATTGCTAAACAAAAAAGACTAGAAATGTATACCAAGGCCTCTATCAAAACCAGTAACCAGAAACTTGATCATGTTTGGAAAACACAACAAGATCAAAGGTAAAGTTGTTGGTTTTTGTAGAGCTTCTGCATTATATCATTTCTTAGTATTTATTGGTGCAAATTACTTATGAAATATACTATCATCTTCTGTCTAATGGGGTCTCTACTAAATCTATATTGGGCTTGATTTTTCTCTAAGCAAGTAAGTCCTTTAATCCTGTAATCTCATTCTTTCATAGAATTGAAATGTCATTTCTAGAAGTCATTTGAGGTTTCAAATAAAAATTGAGTTTTTTTTTTAATATAAAAGTAATTTATTTTCATTCTAAAAATACACTAGTTGACTAAAAGGTAAGCATCATAGAAGCTATGTCCCCTGATGGTTAACTGTGTTTGACAATGTATTGGTAGAAAGCGTAATCTTATAAATAATTTGTATATTTTCATCTTCTTCAACTAACTATACTTTTTATACAAAATCTTGTACCAAAATGGGGAAAAATTAGGTGAAATATTTATATTTGGAAATCTTGATTGGAAGTCTTTGATGAAATATAATCTCTTTTGAACTATCACACTAAACTATCAGTAAAAAATAAAGTGCTTGGAGATGAAATTAGTTTTCTGGAAAATTTGTATGTAAAATAAAACTCTTGAGGTTTTTTTGTTTGTTTTTGAGAGTTTTTTGCTATAGGGTACGTGCACTCACCTGAAAGACAGAAAGCAAAAAATCACCCCCCTCTCCCCCGGTGGGATAGCCACACTACAATCCTTTCTTTCTCCTCTCGGGACCATGGGCACACACGCACGTGTGCCCAGCGTGAGTTTAAGCCACCGACTCCGGAACTCAAACTGCAGTCAACTACATCGGAGTCCAGGGACATAGCCATTATGCCAACTGCTTTTTTTTGAGAGGTTTTTGCTATAGGAGTTTTATTTTATTTATTTATTTTTGAGAGGTTTTTGCTTTAGGGCAAATGTGCTCACCAGAAAGACAGAGACAGAAAGCGAGAAATCACCCCCCAGGGGAAATGGCCACGCCACAATCCCATCTCTTCCATTCTCCTCTCTGGATCTTGGGCACGCACGCACACATGCCAGCATGAGTTTAAGCCGCCGGGTCCAGGACTGGAACCATGGTCAACTACATGGGAGTCCAGCGACAGCCATTACACTAACTGCTGGTCCTGAAACTCTCTTAGTTTTTAAGAGAGTTAAACCACATGAGAAAACTTTTCTATTAACTTGTTAGGGGAAAAAGAAAAATTTCTAGAATTAGTGTTAAGTCATTTTTTTACTTGGGTTTTCCATCAGAAGATTTAAGCTACTATTATTTCCTTTCTAATAGTACAGATGTGTTAATTCAGTTTTGTTTTACATTTTTTTCATGTTAGTATTAAATATAATATTATGTTTTACAGGCAGAAGCTTGGCCAAGAATTTTCTCAGCAATTTATGACTGTGTTTGAGCAGTGGGATTTAGATATGCAGAAAACTGAGGAACAAGAAGAAAAACTGGCTGTTGGTATCATTTATATAATTAATCTATTATAACTACCTCTCAGATAGGAATAGAACTGAGTTTAGTACAAGGTTAGGCTTGTCTGACCCATTGCTGGCTATGTGTTTTAATGCTTTTGAACTGTAAACCACAGAAAAATACCACATACCATACTCATGAAAGCCGTTGGCCATTGTTACTTATATAGGTAGAGAATAGTGCAGTTACAAATCATAGAAATTTGTCAGAGTACAAAAGAAGGGTGATTGGCTTATATAAAAAAAAAAGTGAGTTTTTCTTGAGACACAAGATGGGGAGAGGGAAGGATTGCTCCTGTAGTATCATCTGGGTTTTGTGTTCTTAGTAGTATCTCCCAAGATAGTAACCAAGGTTGTTCTTACAATCCCAATCCCAGATTTAGAAATCTATTAATTCCAGTAGACTGAGACAGTCTTTCTCAATAACTCTGGCAGAAAATTCTTCTAGTGGTATATTACTGATCTATGGTTTGGATAATTTGCCTATTCCTGAACCAATTACTGTAGTTAGAGCACTGTTTAATTTAATGGCCAGACTTTTGTTACTTGCCCATCTCTATGGCAGATGGAAGTCAGTCCCACTCATCAATTGTATAAATCTAAGGAGAGATACTGAGAATGTTACTGGTACTTGAGTCCAGAGCTCAGGAAAGGGAGATGGGCTAAAATACAAAATTGGAAATTATCAGTGTAAAGACAGTATTTAAGCCATAAAGATGGAATAAGATCACCAAGCGAATGACTGTAAATTTACAAGAGGGCCAGCCACAGTGTTAGAGTAGTAACATAATGCTCTCCTGGTTTCATGTCCGGAGGTTTCCCTGTGTGTGCTGAGCACATACCCATAATCCTAGCTGGCTGAGGCTGGGGCGGATTGCAGCATGAAGACCCTGTTAGGGATGCCTATTCCCATGTTCCCTTCTGAATAAACTTTCTTTAAAATGTAAAAGGGGCACCAGCAGATAACATAATGGTCATGTTGCTGGACTCCCATGTTGTCTACCATGGTTCAAGTCCTGGACCTGGCTGCTTAAAATTCACACCAGGTATGTGTGCGCCCAAAATCCTGAGAGGAAAACGGAGGAGAGGGATTGCTGCATGACCATCCCCCCTGGGGGGGATTTCTCATCCTCTATCCCTCTGTCTTTCTGTCTCTCTGGTGAGCACATGTGCCCTATAGCAAAAATATCTCTTAAAAAAAAAAAGTTAAAAGGAAGTCTAAGGACAGAATCCTGGAGTACTTCAATGATTAATTCCAGGAGATGAGTGAAAACCAGTAAAAGAAACTGAACAGCCTAATAGGTAGGGAAAACAAACAAAAAACTACTCTAGGCCAAGTGAAAAAAGCCTTAAGAAGGAAAGATGATTAACTCTGCATTATGCAGCTTACAAGCAAATAAGGTATAATTGTCAATGGGGAGGTCATTGGTGTCCTGGACCAGAATGATTCTGGTGGAAAAGCAAGTATGATCATGTATTCAAAATGAGAATAAGACAAGAAAGGGAAATAAATAGTTAAAAAGAGAATAGAGGGTTTTTTTTTTTCTGTTTTGTAAAACTGAAGAAGTAGAAGCATGTTTGCATGCTATTAGGAATAATATGGAGGGAATAATTAAAAATAATGGAGAGCGGACAGTTGTTGAATTCTTAAGAATGAACAGGATGTGAGAAGTTGGCCTTCAGCAAGAAACAAGGATTGACCATCCTTAGAAACAGGAGAGAATATAGAGTGTATAAGCAGGTAGATATAAGTAAGCGGTAGATAATGGTGACGGGAGACTAAAAGTTCTTTGTGGATTGCTTTTATATATCTAGTGAAAAAAATAAGGTCATCAGATGATGGAAAAGGTGTTATCTTCAGACAGAGTAGAAAGTTGGGTTTTCTAGGGTTGGGATTTAGCCAAGCAAATGTGACAGAGTGAAAAGAAGGCAAAGTGTATGTACAAAAGAATAATTACAACCATTGATCATTCAGTTTAATATGGGGGAAAAAGAAAGAAGATAGGAGTAGGGGTAATGATAGTGAAAGGAAGATGTGATGAATGAATTTTATGTCCTAATAGATTATCGAACTGTACTACTAAAAGAGTAACTAGAATAGTAAGAAGGTAGTGGCTGAATTCTGGCTATAAAGAGAAGCTATAATGGCAAGAGCCCTGGCTCTGAAAATTATTTACCTTTATGCCTCAGTTTCTTCATTTTTTTTTTATTTATTTTTTTTGAGAGATTTTCACTGTAGGGCGCGTGCGCTCACCAGACAGACAGAGAGAGACATAGAGACAGAAAGCGAGAAATCACCCCCCAGGGGGGATGGTCACGCCGCAATCCCTTCTCCTCCATTCTCCTCTCGGGATCTTGGTCACGCACGCACACGCGCCCGGCGTGAGTTTTAAGCCACCGGGTCCGGGACACGAACCGCGGTCGGCTACGTGGGAGTCCAGCGACATAGCCATTATGCTAACTGCTGGTTCCCAGTTTCTTCATTTTTGAAAGCGAAATAATAAATGCTTATCTTATTGAGTTGTTTGGAGAATTAGATGAGTTCATATATAATAAATCTACTTAACAGGATTTAGAATAGTGTCTGACACATAGTTCATGTATAAGTTTGCCATTATGAATATAACATAGGAGTTACAGTTTAGTATGTGACACATAGTTCATATATAAGTTTGACATTATGAATACAATGTAAGAGTTATTGGTAATGACAAAATCTAGACTGTGAGTATGTGAGTGAACAGCTGAAGTGGAGTGGAACACAAAATCAGTGGTAAAGAACCTGACCATTATTGGAAGGATCATCTGTGTGGATGTTCATTTCACCAAGAATTAAGAAAAGTTATGAATATTATTAAGATTTCTTATTTACTGACTTGGTAGGATTACTGTATTCCCATATACTAGTGGTGAACACACATTAAACTTTGTCATAATTGTTAAAATGTTATAAGTATTGATTTTAAAATTATTCCTTTTAAGTTTAATGTAGAATTATTTTTTGCTAAGTTTTAAAAAGTTTACCCGAATTGTTATTGCACAATATTTTTCTTCTATATTTGTAGAATTTGTTTCGACAGCAACAAAAGCTTTTCCAGCAATCTAGAATTGTCCAGAGCCAGAGACTGAAAACAATTAGACAGTTATATGAGCAGTTTACAAAGGTATGTTATATATTGTAACACAGTTCATTTTTATAAAACTTATTTATGAAAGTAGACTTTTTCCCCCTAAGTTTATGGGAGAAACATTTTGCATATAGATATTTTAATTCTTAACTACTTTCCATTTTGACTTGTGTAAGTAAGTGATAAATGTATCATTAAGATTTTATGGGTTTGTGGAAATTATTTAAAACAGTAAATGGTAAATTGGAAATTTTACCTAAAAATTTCATACTTCATTTATCATACTTTATTAATACTTTTAGTCAAAGTTCTCTAACTGAAAGTAGGCCCTGTATTTGTTAAATAGAAGTACCCAGTTTAAATTATTATTTTCTTTTTTCTTCAAATACAGTATAGAAGTATTTTATGGGATCTTTGCTTTTAGAACTGTTACAGTGACCAAAATGACTTCATATGCCAACTTATAATCATAAAATAGCCTATATATGTAATAGACTTCTGGGGATTAGAAATTTGTGTATTGATACTTACCTGATACATGCTTGTTAACAAACTCTGGTCTGTAACACTGGCCACTTGTTTATGCAAAAATATACTTATTTTATAGTAATTATTCCTAGGAGTCCATTGGAGTCCTACATGTACTTCTTTTTGAGAGGGGATTCTTTTAGCTACTCTTGTTCAAATATACATATAATATCTTCTAAAGGAATTAGGATAATCTGAGTGAGCTAGTAAGATGGTTTTAAAATTTATTTTTAAAGAATTTTAAAATAGTACATATGGATACAAAACTTTTATTTTTCATTTAAGGTCATGTGTGCTCACCAGAGAGAGAGTAAGAAATCACACACCTCTGCCCCCACAGGGGGATAGCCACACACAGTCCCTTCTCCTACCTTCTCCTTTTGAGATTTTGGGCACACATGCACATGCACCCGTTGTGAGTTTCAAACCATGAGGTCAGGTACTCCAACCATGATCGACCTCATGGGAGTCCAGTGCCTTAACCATTATTCTATTTGCTGGCCCCCAAAACTTATTTTTTAAGTGTTTCCAAATAGAGAACCTGTAGGCTTGGTTTAATACCCCTAAGAACCATTTATTAATTGGCATAATGATTTTTTTTAAAGAATTATTTTTATTTAACTTTATTTATTATTATTATCATTATTATTTTCCAGTTTGATCCGAGAGAGACAGAGAGAGGAAGGGAGGAAGCAAGCCACCAGGTCTGAGACTTGAACCATGGTCGGCCATGTGGGAGTCCAGTGCCTTTAACCACCATGCCATTTGCTGGCCCTGTGGCATAATGATTTGATAAAGTACTAGAAAAGATTTCTTCTAAATGTATCACTAAATGTTAACAGTTAGGGTAGTAATTGTAATAAAATCTTTGACTCTTCCCATTTCTTTTATCTTTCACATCTAAGTATTACTAGGCCCTGTGATTTCTTTTTTAGAAAAAAATTTCCAGAGGGCTTGTGCATGGGCCAGAGGAGGAAGAGGGAGAAAGCATCCCCAAAGGGGTGTGGTCATACCGCCATCCTTTCTCCATCTCTCTATTCTTGTCCTCCATGACATTTATTTATTTATTTATTTTTGCTTCCCCCCACCATAGGGTGCATGCACTTACCAGAGAGAAAAAGACAGAGAGAGGGAAAGTGAGAAATCACCACTTCCTGGGGGTGATGGCCACACCACAATCCCTTCTTCATTCTCCTCTCAGGATTTTGGGCATGCATGCACAAGAGCCCAGTAGGATTTTCAAGCTGCCAGGTCCGGTACTCAAACTGTGGTTGGTCATGTGGGAGTCCAGCACCTTTATTTATTTATTTATTTTTTTCTGGAGAGGTTTTTGCCATGGGGTGTGTGTGCTTGCCAGAAAAACAGAGAGAGACAGAAAGTGAGAACTCACTCCCCAGGGGGGGATGACCACACTGTAATCCCTTTTCCTCCATTCTTCTCTCAGAATCTTAGGTACACATGCACACATGCCTGGCGTGAGTTTGAGCCACTGGGTCCGGGACTGGAACCACAGTCGACTACATGGGAGTCCAGCAACATAGCCATTATGCCAACTGCTGTTCCCTTTTTAAAAACATTTTAATTATTTATTTAATTTTTATTTATTATTATTTTTAAAAAATTGATCAATAGAGAAAGAGTAAAAGTAAGCCTCCAGGTCTGGTACTTGAACGATGGCTTCCTGTGTGGGAGTCCAGCATCTTAACCACCACATCATCTGCTGGCCCCCCCCATGACCCTGTTTTAAGCTTCTTTTATTTGTGTATTCCAGGACTACATCTACTTTTTCTGTACAGTGTACATGTCGATGTTTTTGTTTATGCTTTCTTCCTAGAACTCCTTTTCCTTCATCTGTCAAAATCTTATTCTTTTTCCAACTTTATTAGAATTAATCCCCATTTTCCATTACATAGCTAGAACAACTAGTGTATTCATTTCTGGTGAGTCATTGGAAAAGTCATGATGCCTTTTTTATAGAAAAATATGTCATGACTTTTCCAACGACCCAATATTATAAAATCTTTGTATTATTTTTATGTTTTTTTCCTTACTAGTAATAAGGGGACAATCATGTATTATTATTTTTTTTTTTTATTGAAAGTAGAGTTTATTAAGTAAAGTGAAAGTATACTCCCAAGAGGTAGGAGTGGACCAGAGCCAGGAGAAAAAGAGCAGCTCAAGGACCTGTATTATTTTTTTTAATATTGCCACAGCGCTAAACATAGTATCAGTACTTCTTACATGGTAGGCACTTGGATAACTGTTAAATGAATAGTAAACATTTAAAACATAATTTTTGTCTTTCATAACTTTGAGAGGACATACTACAGATCAATTTATCCCTACTGAATTCATGTCACTTTGACTTAGTTATAATAAGCAGATTATTACTGATGTTTGGACAGTTTATATAAATTTTCAAAATTATAGTATTTATTTATACAGTCTTTTTTATTTTTGCTCCCAATTGACCTTAACAGTTAATAAACCATTGTTTTAAGTAAAACATACTATTATTATACTTACTATAATATTAGGTTGTTAGAAAAGTCTCATCACTTTTTTTTTTTTTGGCCTTAGGGCATGTGTACTCACTGGAGAGGGACAGAGACAGTGAAAGGGAAAGTGAGAAATCACCCCCCCGGGCGGATGGCCACACCACAATCCCTGCTCCTCTACTTTCCTCCTGGGATATTGGGCATGTACACATATGCCTGACATGATTTTCAGGCTGCCATGTCTGGGACTTGAACCATGGTCTGCCATGTGGGAGTCCAGCAACATAACCACTATGCCATCTGCTGGTCCTCATGACATATTTTTCTGTGTTTTTCTATGTAAAAATGCATCATGACTTTTCCAGCAGCCAAATAAATAATATTGTATCCACTATAAATAAGTAAGTACAATATTATGCAATAATATTTATACTGTTGTACTTCTATTGTATTTGGTTCAGTGTGTTTTTTTTATTCTTTTATATTACCTAGGATTTTTTAAAATTTGAGGTGAAAAATGAGCATTACTAAAAAGTTCTTATTTTAAAAAATAATTATAAAAGATTAGAACCTGAGATGACAAGTGGTGATTTGTAAGTGAACTAGCCTTTGACTTTTTAGAGTATGGAGGACTTGGAGAAGGAGCATGATAATCTACTGACTGGTGCACAAAGTGAACTTAGAAAAGAAATGGCTATGTTGCAGAAAAAGATTATGATGGAAACTGTAAGTTATATTTTAAATTTTTTAAAAAGTTATTTAATTTTAGTTATTATTATTTAATATGCTATAGGGCAGGTGTGCTTACCGGAGAGAGAGAGAGAGAGAAAGAGAGAGAAAATGAGAAAGCAAGCCACCAGGTCTGGGACTTGAACAGTGGTTGGCCCTGTGGGAGTCCAGCACCTTCAGCACACCACCTGCTGGCCTCAAGTTATTATATTTTAAATGGAAAGAAATAAAGGTTAATGTAAGCACTGAAATATTTTATTTGCTGAAATATGTGTAACACTTAACTAAAAATTAAACAAATGTTCAATATCTTCTTTCATGAAATAGCAGCAGCAAGAGATGGCAAACGTTCGAAAGTCTCTTCAGTCCATGTTATTCTGATGACTCTTTGAAGAAAGAACTTGAACCTGAAGAATATGATATGATTATAATATTAGCTAAGAGGCACATAAGTCTTCAGAATAGTTTAGAAATTCTAGTTTAAAAATAACATCTTTAATCTTATTTAATTTAAGTATAAGACTTTCTGTTAATTTAATTTCTAGGTAAAATCTAAAGGTAATATGAGTAGGAGGGAGGTATTTATAAATTAAATGTTTTGGGCTTTCAGCTCTTTAGTAGTAATAGTGAATTTATCTATGTAACACTGTCAATTAATTTTGACCAATAAAGATAATTTAATTTTAGGTTTTGGCTTCAGTTTATCTTTATTAGTTCCAAAAGTAGAAGGCACAAGTCTAGAAAGCTACATTGTTCTGGGGGGAAAAAAAAGAAAGAAAGAAAAAAAAAACTATGCTATATTTATGTCCTTTTCTATACATTTAAGTTACCTAGCCAATCCTTTAAAAAGATATTTTTAAAGACAGAGTGTATGTCCCAGTCCTCTTTTCTAGCCTCCTAAGTTCCTGGAACTATTGGCATTTGCCACTGCACCTACTTTAGGGTAGGCTTGAAATCGAACCTGGGCCCCGCAAGTGCCTCAGCCTGCCGAGTAGCAGTGTCAGGCAGCACATGCTACAGTGGTTGGACCTACACAGTCAATTCAAAAGAAAAGATTTCAAAAAAAAATAAAAAACTTCGTTGACTTTTAAATTTATTAGGAATTTATGTCCACACTCTTTAATAAACTGCTAAAACCATTAAGTTAATGGAACAGGATACATAAATACCAGTTTTGTTTTTTGTTTTTGTTTTCAGAGATTTTTGCTATAGGGCACGTGTGCTCGCCAGACAGAGAGACATAGAGACAGAAAGCAAGAAATCACCCCCCAGGGGGGATGGTCACGCCACAATCCCTTCTCCTCCATTCTTCTCTTGGCATCTTGGGCATGCACGCACACGCGCCCGGCATGAGTTTTAAGCCACTGGGTCCGGGACGTGAACCGCGGTCGACTACATGGGAGTCCAGCAACATTGCCATTATGCTAACTGCTGGTTCCCATAAATACCAGTTTTAAGATATCGATTTATGAATATGTCATTTCCATAAAGATACCAAAATGGCATTTAATTGGGTTTGATCCACAATTAAATGACATATGCTCTTAGTAATTATTAAGAGCATATCATTAACATACCTGGTTATTTACAATTTAAGTAGTTCATATCTGTATTTTTTGGAATTATTTTATTTACCTTTATTACTATAACTATTTAATTTGACCAGAGAGAGGAAGAGTGAAAAAGCAAGCCACCAGGTCTGGGACTCAAACCACAGTTGTCCATGTGGAAGTCCAGGAACCTTAACCACCATTCCACCTGCCTGCCCCCACATCTGTCTTTAAAGAAAAATTGCCTAGAATGTTTTTTTCAATTTTAATATTGGGTATACATTTATTTCCAAACCAGAACAGTTAATTTTTACAACTTGTCTCTTTAAGAGAGTTTTTCTTTTTTTTGGAGAGGTTTTTGCTATAGGGCACGTGCGCTCGCCAGAAAGACGAGATAGACAGACAGAAAGCGAGAAATCACCCACAGGGTGATATCTATGCCACAATCCCTTCTCCATTCTCCTCTCAGGATCTTGGGCACACATGTACATGTGCCCAGCATGATTTTAAGCCACCAGGTCTGGGACTTGAGCTGTGGTTGACTACATGGGAGTCCAGTGACATAGCCATTACACCAATTGCTGGTCCTGAGAGATTTTTGCTATAGGGCCCATGCACTTGTTGGAGAGACAGATAGAGACAGAGAGACAGAAAGTGAGAAATCATGCCCCAGAGCAGATGGCCTCACCGCAATCCCTTAACCAATCTCCTCAGGATATTGAGCACATACACACGCACGTGCACGCGCACACACACACACACACGTCTGTCATGAATTTCAAGCTTCCAGGTCAGGGACCTGAACCACAGTCAATTACATGGGAGTCCAGCAACATAACCATTATACCATCTGCTGTTCCCTACAACTTGTCTTTTAAAACATGCATTCCTTTACATAGAATAACATATGAACACTTGATTTAATAAATACTAATTTTCTTGAAATTAATCAGTTAAACTTACTATTTTTTTTGTTGAACTTCCTTTCAGTGAATCAAGACAAAAAAGGGTACTTATTAGGAAGAAAGCAGTTTTCTCCTGCTTTTCCATGTTTAGATTTCCCAAAAATTTAATTTTTGCCTCTCTAACTCATGCTTATTTTAGTTTTAAGGTTTCCTAAGTTTTAGAAAAGTCCAGGAACCAGCAGATAGTGTAATGGTTAAGTCGCTGGACTCCCACATGGTCAACCACAGTTTGAGTTCTGGACCTGGAGGCTTAAAACTCACACCCAGGCACATGTATGTGTGTGCCCAAGATCCTGAGAGGATGAAGAAGGGATTGTGGCATGACCATCCCCCTGGGAGGTGATTTCTCACTTTTTGTGGTGAGCACACACACCCTATAGCAAAAATCCCTAAAAAAAAAAATAAATAAAAACCACAAATCCATACAGATTCTCTAACTATGATACTATGATAACTTATACAGGGATAAATTAATCCTCTACCATTGATGAATAGCTGACATTCAAAGGACAGTTTACAGGGGCCAGCTCTATAGCCTAATGGTTAGGGGGGCTGGGTCCTATGTGGCCAACCACAGTTCAGGTCTTGATCTTTGTGGCTTGAAAAACAGTCCAGGTATATGTGTGTGCATGCCCAATTCTGACAGGATGAAGAAAAAGGAAAAAAGACTACAGAGTGACCATACCCCACTGAGGGTATTTTCTCACTCAAAAAAGTGCACATGCCCTCTGTCATTTAAAAAAAAAGAAAGAAAACAAAATCATTTACATTCTAAAATTTTGAACTTTGTAAAAGATCTTTTTGAGTCAAAGTATGTTACAATATCAATCTTGGGGCCAGCAGGTGGAATAATGGTTAAGGTATGTCTGACTACCATTCAAATCGCGGACCCAGTGGCTTGTAACACACTGAGTTCATGTGCCTGCATGAAAAAATCCTGAGATCAATCTTAAATGCTATTCGAACTTTTAAGGTCCTTGTTTGAGAAATTTTACCAATAGTTACGGAGACAAAAATAAGTACTCCACAGTGTTTTCTATATACTTAATTTACATAAGAACTTTAACTTTGTTCATTATGGCTTGTTCTTGCCTAAGATAAAGTACACGCTCATTAAGCCATCATTTTTCTGATTATTTTACCATAAGGCATATGGTCTGCAGAACTGTATATTATTATAAACAGGGTTAGATGGGAGTGTGAAGATATATAAGAAATCTAAATATTTTTAATAGAGAGCAAAGACAATAAATACCTAATGTACTTATTGACTGAATAATTGATACTTTATCCTCATCAACTCAAGTCAATGTGTACTTGAAGTAACTGGCTGATAGTTTGAAGTGAAGATATTTTTGACATGCTTTTGTAAGTTACTAATTTTCTTACATGTCAACTGGTTTAGCTACGGTTTTATTTTTCAGGAACGGGATTGTTTATGTTCATGTTTTTTGAGACAATGACTTTTTTTGAGAGATTTTTGCTATAGAGTATGTGTGCTTACCAGAGAGACAGAAACAGAAAGCGAGAAATTACCCGCACCCCCCCCTCCAGGGAGGATGGCTATGCCACAATCCCTTCTCCATTCTCCTTTTGGGTTTTTGGGCATGCATGCTACACAATGACAGTGTGAATTTTAAGCCAGAGGGTCTGCAACGCTAACCAAGCCCAACGTGGGAGTCCAGCCACATCACGCCATCTGCTGGTCCTGAGACAATAGAATTTTAAGCCAGTGTCAAAGGGCAAATACTCTCAATGTAAAGATTCTTATGTTTTTCTGGACTAGAACAGCAAATTCCTTTTTCAAATTCAAACTAAAAAAATTGTATAGCCCTTCTGAATTCTAATTGGTATACTAAAACAAGAGTTTTACATGTATATGATAGTAATTAACATAGTTCTTTTGAAAAATGGTTAGGATAAGAAAATTCTTACATCACTACTTACTAGTTTCATCAGCTATTCTCTTATTCAATGTTATGAGCTCACTTCAATTTTTAGCAAAGCAAGCATCATCCTCAAGATGGCTAAAATCATTTATGTTCTGTATCTCTACGTAATCCTTTGGCAGTAAAAATCCAAGTGTCTAATAAACATTTCTCAAAGATAAAGAGGTTGTTATTTAGAATTATAGGGATTCATTTTCTTCAAGATTAAAATTTCTTTCTTTTGTCTTATTTCTGATTAATTTATGTATTACTGTATTAATACCTGTGATAATATCAGTAATCAAAAGTGATGATACACAAAGAGGACTTCATAACTAAAAGAGACATAACAGAATCTGTAGGATATATATTTTATATTCAAATATAACCTTATTTGATAGTATACTAGCCTCCTGAATAGGGGAATTTCCTTCACTCATAGGTTCCCCTAACTGCTTCTCCTTTTTTCCTTGAGCTATTAGTCAGTCAATATGCTTGTGAACCTGTTCAGGTGCTTGATGACACGAAGTCTTGAAGATATTTAGATGAAGGTGTCTTGAAATTTGCAGGCACAAAGCACTGAAGTATATTATCATATCAAATGAAGAAATGGCCTTTAGAAGCAAAAAAAGAAAACATAAGATGAATTATAGTCTTAACTTTTCTGAAGGAACACCTATTTTTCTATTTCTCCCCAAATCTCAAACTAAAATTCTTCACTGAAAATACTTTCACATAGTTTATACTTGGACCTCACAGTAGTCCTCTGGAACATGCAAGGCATTTAACTGTTACAGAAGCTCAGAGAGGTAAAAGGATTAGACTGAAAAAAAAAAAAAAAAAAAAGCCTGAAAAGTAGCACAACCCAAGTCTTCAGAACCCCACATTCTCTCAACTTTCTGCTATGCAGTGAACTGCATATTTCCTACAAGAAGGGGTTATCAGGCATAATATAATAAATTAATCACATCAGATTCCTTTTTTATTCTGTTGAGGTTAGTTGTAAGAAGGAAAAAGGTTGGGGGCAAAACATCATAGATGAGGGGAAGCATATATACAAAATTGGGTTGTATACAAAATAGAGAAGTCTTCTATTTAGAGATTTTGCCCACAGAACATAGTCAAATTCCTCCCTTCAGAAAATGAAGCCCAGGAGAAAAGTAAACCTCATAACTTTGACCATGGTGAGAGAATTCTTACCCATGAAGGGGAAAAGAAACACACTCTTTACTTGAAAAGCTCCATCAGGCCCTTTTCTGAAGCAAGATGCTTTTCTTTATGAGTGACATAGGGCATATATGTGATGTCTGGCTCATGTATGTGTGTGTATTTGTTGCCCTTACAGTGTTTTAATGAAAAAATGATTTCAATTTTCTTAGTTCACCAGTTTCCATCACGGGTATAAACCAGGTCCAGTGTGATAGCGTGTAAACCTACTATTACAAATAGGTACTTGAACTCTTAACACTTGGCATTTTAATTATCTCAGATAATTCTGTTTAGTAATACATACCTAACTTCATTAAAAGAACACTTAAGTTTTGGGGCCAGTAGGTGGCATAATGACTATGTCGCTGGTCTCCCATGTACTCAACGGCGGTTTGAATCCTGGACCTGGTGGCTTAAACTCACGCTGGGCGTGTGTGTGTGCGTGCCGAAGATCCCAAGAGGAGAATGGAGAAGAAGGGACTGTGGCGTGGCCATCCCCCTTTGGGGGGTGATTTCTCACTTTTTGTCTGTCTCTTTCTGGCACGCGCATGCACCCTATAGCAAAAACCTCTCAAAAAATTTTTTGAGTTTTCAGATATTTTAAATAATCACACTAGTTCTCAATTTTGGATTGTTTGGGAGTCTTAAAAATATTTATAAAAGGTAGCACATTAAAGAGAATTATTCTGATTTTCGAACACTTTTTAGAACATTGTCTAAACAGTTTTATTGTCCACCTTAATGAAATTACATCCTATTACCATGGGAAAATGTAAAACTTCTGAATGGACTATGAATGAATATTAAGTTATTAAAAACAATACTGTACAACCTAGTGAAGAGTCATTAAATGTACCCCAGAGGTCCAAGCATGGAATAGATAATAGATTTTTTAAATATCCAAATCTAACAAATAGAGTGAAATTACTAGAATTATCAAGATTCACTGCAGAGTATTTTTCTTTTTTGAAGTTGACTTCAGTATCCTTACATACTAACAATTTAGCGAAAGCTAGTGAGATCCAGAGACAGGGTAAAATAATGCAAAATTGCTTAAAATAAACATTAATTGAAAACCATTTACAAAGGTATGTCTTACTATAAAATAATCACAATGCTCCATTTACCTAGTTTTGTGATTGAAATGTACCTCAGATGACTAAAATGTCTCTTAAGCACCATATTCTGTATTTTGTAATTATTAGGAAAGAAATACAGGTATAATCCACATTCATTAAGCAGGATATATCCAGAATTTAAACTTTGCTTTATGATTGAATCCTCATTAACACAAATTTTGCACTGTTCTCAAGGACCATAGGGTTATATAGGGTTGCTTACTTCTAACATGAAAGGGTCTCAGAATCCTGTGCTTAGTAGTACATCTATCATTTTGCTTTCTGCCCACCTTTAGTAGCACTCATCTGATTTGCCTACTATCTGCAATAAATTGGTAATAATTCTAATAGACTTGATTTAGTCAAGTCAGAAAGTCTTTTGGGTAGATGGAAGTAGTTTTTGACATGTTTGTACTGTTTTAGGGAATAAAAATATTTATTAGGAACACAGTTGTATTTCCAAGGATCTGGGTTTTTGGAAAACTAACCTCCAGATATGTTGGCCATTTCTACACATAAATGACTCCCAGTCTAAAAGAAGTAAATAATTTTAAATATTCAGAACATTTAATATGTAGACTAGATATTAAGCTTACTGACCCCAGTGAAATAGCTATTAGCATAATGTGACCTGACATCTGTTAAAAAATAAGTAACAGAAAAGAACTTACCATGGCTATCCATAGAATAACATATTCGTCTATAAAATTATTAAAGTACTGGTCTAAAAACAAAAGACCTGGACCAAAAAAGACAGTGTCTTGAAGGTACAGTTCACTTTTGGTCATGTGAGCTATCTACAAAAAAGTAAACAAAGTAATTTCACTATTAAAGGTTTTAGCTTTTATTTTTAGGATAATTAATTATAACTTTAATTCACTATTAAGACAAAGAAATAATTTAATCTCATACTTAATATGGGAATACTTATCCATACCTCAAATTCATAACTGGGTATCTTATTAAAGTTTTCAATGTTTAAATTCCTTGCTATCAGAAAGCTGTAATTGATCATTGCAGCTAAACAAATAATTAAAACAACTGAATGTAACAATTCATATCAGGTTTATTTGGATCACAAACAACTATTTATTGTGATGTTGACACCACAAAAGAAATCTATGCATTAAATGAGATAGTTTTCAGATTTGTATTTAAGGAATAAGTACATTATTTATACCATGAATCATAAAATAATTTCTTACCACTAATTTTTGTGAGACTTTAGCAAATACACACCCAAACATTAGGGTATAAAGGCAAGGGTGCTTTTCAAACACATTAGTTGCTGACTTTTTGTATATCATTATTGCCAGTATAATAATCAGTCCTATGTGGAGTCCAGGTGACAAGACACTGGTACCCTAAGGAATAAAGCAGAAAATCATCACATTTTAACACTGCATTTATTACAATGCAAACGTTCTCTGAGCATCTATTTTGTGCAAGGAGTTACAGACCTAAAGAGCCTGATGTAGTATATGGTTTAAGGGAGTATAAAAACCTTAGCTATGCTTTTCACATTTCCACCAAATCCTAGGATTACAAAGACATGACACAGTACCACAGATGTTTGGTACTATATTATATACACACTTTACATACACATCCACATTTTAAACTAATAATCAACTAAAGTTAACAATGCAATTTATTCTGTATCAACTTTTACTGTTTTGAAGGCCATTAACACCAGGGTTGCCAAGTTAACAAATTTTTGAGGGAGATACTTTACAAATACCTTATTTTCCAGAGAGAAATTTTATCCTGCCAATTTTATAAAATATCTTAATCACCGATTAGGAAGATTTCAATTTTGTCCTGGTTTCTGACTATACTATATACCCTCACCTCCTACATTTTACTTTTTCATTCAGATTGCAAATGTTCTTTAAGGTAAAATTGTACAGTCAAGGCCATTACATTTTTCTTTTCTTTTTTAATGAGAAAGTGAGTGCAGGAGGAAGCGTGCCAGGCTGGACCAGGCCTTTACTTTTTTTCTTTTTAAGATATTTTTGCTGGGCCCAGCAGATGGCATAATGGTTACGTCATTGGAATCACATAGTTGACGGTGTTTGAATCCCAGACCCAGCAGCTTAAAGCTCACACTGGACACATGTGTGCACATGCCCAAAACCCTGAGAAGAGAATGGAGGGAAAGTGATTCCAGCATGGCCATCTCCCTGGGGATGATTTCTCGCTTTCTGTCTCTCTGTCTGTCTCTCCCTGACTCTCCAGTGAGCGCACACACCGTATAGTAAACACCTCTCTTAGAAAAAGTAGATTTTTGCTATAGGGTGCATGATCTCACCGGAGAGACATGGAGAGACAGAAAGCAAGAAATCACCCCACAGGGGTGATATCCACACTTCAATCACTTTTCTTCTTGGTATTTTGGGTTTGCATGTGCACACACCCAATGTGAGCTTTTTTTTTTTTTTTTCTTAAGAGATTTTTGCAATAGGGCACATGCGCTTTCCCGAGAGACAGAAGCAAGAAATCACTACCTGGGGCAATGGCCATGCCACAATCCCTTCATTCTCCTCCTGGGATTTTGGGCACACATACACATGTGCCCAGCATGAGTTTTAAGCTGTCGGGTCCGGGACTCAAACAGCAGTCATGTGGGAGTCCAGCAATATAATCATTATGCCATTGGCTGGTCCCCCCAACATGGGTTTTAAGCTGTCGGTTCTAGGACTCGAATCATGAAAGTCCAGCGATGTAGCCATTACACCATTTATACCATCTGCTGGCCCTTACATTTTTATTTGTGTGAATCAGGATTCTCTCAACACTATTTATCCTAAATAAAATGTTAAAATAAATTTACTATTAAGGCTTACTAAATCTCTAACCACCAATCTAAATGTGTTCATTAAACAGTATTACTCTTGTTTATTAAGTTTTCATGCTTTTTTTTTTAACCTTTTTTAGGTTTTTACCAGAGGGTGTGTGTACTTGTCAGAGAGAGACAGATAAAGGAAAAGTGAGAAATCACCCATTGGGGGTGATAGTCATGCCACAGTCCCTTCTCCTCCATTCTCCTCTCAGGATTTTGGGCATGCATGCACATGCACCCAGAATGGTTTTCAAGCTACTGGGCATGGGATTTGAACCACAGTCAGCCATGGCTATAGCCTTAACCACCATGCCACCTGCTGGCCCCAAGTTTACATGTTTGAACTTAGAACTTACTATCAAATAAAGTAATACTACTATAAAATTACATATATAAGACACTACATTATATAATAATACATTATAAAAACTTAGACTATTAGTGTTTTATATATTTTATATATTACAGTTCTTATATTTCTTTTTATTTTTTTTTTTGAGAGATTTTCACTGTAGGGCGCGTGCGCTTGCCAGACAGACAGAGAGAGACATAGAGATAGAAAGCGAGAAATCACCCCCCAGGGGGGATGGTCATGCCGCAATCCCTTTTCCTCCATTCTCCTCTCGGGATCTTGGTCACGCACGCACACGCGCCCGGCGTGAGTTTTAAGCCACCGGGTCCGGGACACGAACTGCGGTCGACTACGTGGGAGTCCAGCGACATAGCCATTATGCTAACTGCTGGTTCCCAGTTCTTATATTTCAATAAAAAAAAAAAACTGCTGCTAAAAAGGTTGGAAACCCACCAGCAGTTTAAGAATTTGCAATTAACTACTTAGCTTGTGTTCAAGTTCTTTCAAACATTTAATTATTAATATTCATGATTTCTTAGTAAAATATTTTCAAAATCGACACTGATCTTTATTTTTATTGTCTTTAGTGGAACTTATGTTCCAGCTAGTGTTCTATTTTATCCATGGTTAAAAAACATTTATTGCTAATTACCTTATGCACAGTGCTGCACATAGATCAACTGACAAAACATCTCAAGAAATGCATATTTTTCCAAATATATCAGACCTTATATGTCTAAATTAATTTATACTTTGCATTTGAATTGTGTATGTAAAATATTTTCATAAAGATACTTTATGAATTATGGAGACTTGTTGAAATTGTCTTGAGAGCTAATTTACAAGTCATTTAAGAAAATGAGAATTTTTTTAACTAAAAATGCTGTTTCTCACGATTATTATTCCCCTTATTTATTAGACTTGGCTCCAAATGAGTTTGACTATTTCCCCCAATAAAATCCACACTTATAGGTTAGAAATTTTGGGACCAGCAGATGGCGTAATGGCTGTCGCTGGACTCCCACGTAGTCTACCGCAATTCTAGTGCTAAACCTAGTGGCTTAGAACTCAAGCTGGGTACATATACGTGCGTGCCCAAGATCTTGAGAGAAGAATGAAGAAGGGATTGTGGCGTGGCCATTCCCCCTGGGCAATGATTTCTCACTTTCTGTGTCTCTGTCTCTCCAGTTAGCACACATGCCCTACAGCAAAAATAAATAAATAAAAACTAAAAAAAAATTTTGAACTATAGAACTAAAGCAACTAGAGAGACTGTGCTATAACTTAATGCAATCCTAACAAAGGCATTCTAACTATGTTCTGTTACAAGGTGGCATCCTGGAGTAAGTACTTCCTATGTCCAACCCCCTTGAAGATGACAGCAGGCCTTTAAAACATATAGGTACTATAAACTTGCAGGAAGTCTCTTTCTATTTAAAAGTAATGGAAAAGTATAGCATGAGCAAGGTGTAAAGTTCACAAACACAAGGTTTACCCCTTAAGAAATAATTACCTTTTTTAAAGTATTAGAATAATTCTTTTTTTTTTTTTTTTTTGGGGGGGTTTTTTTTTTTTTTTTTTTGCTATAGGGCACGTGCGCTCGCCAGACAGAGAGAGAGAGAGACATAGAGACAGAAAGCGAGAAATCACCCCCCAGAGGGGATGGTCACGCCACAATCCCTTCTCCTCCATTCTCCTCTCGGGATCTTGGGCATGCACACACATGCGCCTGGCGTGAGTTTTAAGCCACCGGGTCCGGGACGCGAACCGCAGTCAACTACGTGGGAGTCCAGCGACATAGCCATTACACTAACTGCTGGTTCCCAGAATAATTCTTTTAAGTATATTTTAGAGACATTTCAATAAAATTTACTTCATAAGTAATATTAATAATTTGTCCCATATATGAAACAATTGACCTTCGACAACTCACTCTCCCCCCTCTCCTCTATTAGTTCAAGGAACAAAATGGAAAAAAAAAAAAAAAGAGCAAATGGCAATTCTTAATTATATACAGGAATGAAATAGTGAATGATTAACTGAAATGTAGAAATATCTATGCAGAGCAAGCCTTAGGAAGAAGAAAAATACTTTATTATCAGGCTAAACTGTTTTTAAAATGCTTTCGTATTTATCCATGAGGTGGGTTTCCAAAAGAAAAAAAAAAATGCTTTTGTATTATATGCCTAAAATGAATTATTTAAGATACTTAGTTTCCTTCTCTATTCTTAAACTTTGGCATATTCCAGTACATTTTTATATATCATGATAAGAAAATTTATCATAAAAGTAATACTGAATAATGATGAAATTAATGCCTTACTGCTATAGTGGATCCATTCTTGCCAACGCCACCATGGAGAATAACATGGAAATAATTTGAACAGGAAAATATTGCTCCACCTACTACTCCAAGAACTGGAAAGATCTTCAATTTTATATCTAGAATGGGTATCTTTAGGGGTAGAGGGAAGAAACAAATCATTAAACTAATATAATTTATTTTATTACATAATAAAGACACATTATGATATGGACCTGTAGAGTAAGTTATCCTTTTTCTTGTAATCGAACCTTAATTTCTGGAATATAGACTGAAGTAGTAACTTTTTCTGAAACTTTTTTTCATTAAGTGAAAAATAAACCCACCAAATAAGCTTAGTCTATTCACACAATTTTGATTGAACATTTAATCTCAGAAGGCTTCATATGACTTAAATATGAAAAAGGATAGGTTAATTTAGTAGTCCTAAGAGGTAGTACCACAGGAAAGGCGCCACCATGGTCGGCATCATAAATGTGACAAGTATCAGGATGTGTGCATGCAAAAAGTTTCTGTAGTTAATATCCAGGATTGAATCTCTAGTAATATATTTACCTGCGGGTCAACTGCTGTTCAAGAAAACTTCCAAAGGCAGCAAAGGATTTAAAAAAATAGTAACAATGAATTGCCAGAAGCTGTAGGGTATTTGTGTTTTGAAAACAGACACTGAAAAATTGAACCAAAACTAGTGGAAACTAGAGGTTAACAATTAAATTTAGAAAACCTACATAAAAAATAACTATCCTCATGGATGAGAAATAAGCAGGTGTGTTTTCTTCCTATGATATTTACCAAAACATTGAATAAAACTATTTTAAGATTCAATTCCAAATTTAAGACAGTTGTACGTAATGACTGAAGTTGCCTAGCTGCTTCTAGGTCCACATTGACCTTTTTATGAGTACTAACTGAACAGCTACCATAAAAGACATGTCCTCTGGTATACTGTATAGGGCTATGGGAGCATATCTTTGAATCTATTGTTTATTCTCCCTGATGGTCAAGAATATGAATGTCTCAGGAAGTGTACTACTACTTAAAAATATGCTCAGAGTCTATTTTGAGGTTGCTGATATAAATGATAATTGTCAATTCTGACACCAAGTGTCACAGGAAAGTCTTTTACTATATTTTTAATAGACATTAGTTGTTTTTTTTTAAGCAGTTTTAAGTTTATAACATAGTTGAACAGAAAGTGCAGAGTACCCACTACCTTTTGTCCCTCCTCCCCTACATGCAGAACCTGGCCCACTATTAACATCACGTACCACACTGGTATATTTATTACAACTGATGAACTTACTTGATACATCACTATCACCCACAGTTCATAGTTTACTTTAGGGGTCACTCTTGGTGGTAGACAGTCTGTGAGTTTTGGCTGATGTGTAATAACATGGAGCCACCATTATAGTATCACACATAATAGTTTCACTGGCCTAAAAATCCCCTGTGCTCCACCTGTTATCCCTCTTTTCCCTCAAATCTTAGAAACCACTGATCTTTTTACTGTCTCCATAGTTTTGCCTTTTCCTGAGTGTCACATGATTGAAATTATACCATGCACAACCTTTTCAGATTGGCTTTGTATTAGTAATAAACATTTAAAGTTCCTCCATGACTTTTCATGACTTAATAGATAATTTCTCTTTAGCATTGAGTAATATTCCATGGTCTGCATATAACACAGTCTACCCATTCATCTACTGAAGGACATCCTGGTTGATTCCAGGTTTTGGCAATTACAAATAAAGCTGCTATAAACATTGTTTTTTGAGTGGACTTAAGTTTTCAACTCATTTAGGTAAATACCAAGGAGTGTGACTGCTGGCTCACATGGTATGAGTATGTTTAGTTTTGTATTTCTACTTTTATCAGAGGTATATAGCTTATTGACTATAAACATGTAGTCTGCAATCAGTCTACTTGATTCTTGGCTCCAGTGCTTACTTCTCACTTGTCCCTGGACAAATTACTTAATTAATCATTCTCTAGTTTATTTATAAAACAGAAAAATTATAGTATCTATTTCATAGGATTGTTCTGAGGGGCTGATGAAACTGATGATAAAATTTTTAGGAACATAAGTGTTGAATGAATGTTAGTTGCTGGCTATTATTTTTTCATAACAATATGAACTAAAGTTCAGATAGCCAGTGTTGTGGGCTTAGGTTGTAGTGATGGAATAGTGATGCAAAGCTCAAATTTGAAACAGTGGTTAACCAAGAGCCAACTTTTATCAAAACATTAAATCACCAAACAAGCAGAAAATACACTTTTTAAGGTGCAAAATCTTCACCTCATAGTAGATTATAAAAATGTAGATTAGTCACTTTTCTTTCCTAAGATTGAGGGACAAGTTTCAAACAGAAACTATTTTGGGCCAATCCTTTAGCACGGTGGTTAAGTGCTGTGCATTGGGAGCCAGACCCCATAGGACTGGCTGCGGTTGGAATCCCAGCCCCCAAGACTTGAAAGACATGCTGGGCATATGTATGTCTGTGTCAAATTCCTGACAAGATGGAGAAGTTGCTTCATTATTTTTTAAAATATTTATTTCATGGGCCCAGCAGATGGCCTGGACATTAAGGCAGCTGGATCCTACATGGCCAACTTTGCATTTCAAGTCTCAAACCCAATGGCTTGGGAAAAAAAAACACGCCAGGTGTGTGTGCATGCATGCCCAAAATTCCGAGAGGAGAATGGAGGAGAAGGTATTGTGGTATACACATCTCCCTGGGAGGGTGGGAGTGCTTTCTCACTTTCCCTCTTTCTTTCTTTGTCTCTGTTTGTGGTGAGTGTATGCATCTTACATCATAAAAATTAATAAATAAAAACAAAGATATTTATTTTCTGAGATAAATTTTGGTCTGGTAAAGGTAATTCCATGTTTTTTTTCCCTATTAGGTGATATATTTATGCATAGGCAAAAATTATATAATAAGATATATAGGATAATGACATTACAAAATGAAGGAAAACAATTTAAAATGTATTTTTTAAAGAAAATTTAATAGTGCAATATCTTTTCTAAACATTTAAAAGTACTCAAATATAAATTTAAATATTCATATTTACCGTATAGTCCCACATTGTCGGTCCTCCAAATGCAGACAACAGAAAGACCATCACTAAAGCTAGCTGAATTTCAGTTACATCCACTCTAAAGAAGGACAACAAAAAATAGGTACTGTGTTTGTAAGTAAATTACTAAATACAGAGGTTAACCAAATATTAAAATATCAAAAATGTATAAATTTCTATAGGCTTAGTTTATTTTTATCTCTACTTACATCATTGAATTATCAACTGACTACACTACTAAGTGAAAAAGGCTACAGAACAACATGTACTCATATGTAGTAAACATTAGCATGTTAAAAACGAGAAAAAACTTGTATTGCTTATTCAAATTACTGAAAGTTACCACTGAAATTATAGAAGACTTATTTTCTACTTCATATATTTCTATAAAGTTTGAATTTTTAAAAACAATTATGTATTACTGTACTCTAGAAAACAAATTTAGTAATAATGAAAAACAATTGTATGATTTAAGGCAAATTCTTTAACACTTTTAAGTCAAGGTTCAGAACTAACACCTTGGTCAGCCATGTGGAAATTCAGTACCTTAACCACTATGCCACCTGCTGGCCCCCAGGCCTGCTTTCTTGGAACATTTTGTTATGTTTTCATTTCTTTTGCTCTCTGTTGATTTTCCTACCTTGCGGAGCTCTTCTCAGCTTCCTTCCTAGAATGGTGCTTCCTCCCTTATCATAAACACAGTTTTCAGAACTCCCTCTGTACTTTCATATTCTCTGAACAATTTTATCTATACTTAAAACTACCATCTAGGAACTAGGAGGTGGTGTGGTGGTTAAGGCTCTGGACTCCCTCGTGGCTGACTGCATTTCAAGTCCTGGATTGGCAGCTTTCTTTCTGTCTGTCTCTCTCTCTCTGGTGAACACACGTGCCCTGTGCAAATTTAAAATAATAATAAATAATAAACTATCATCTATATGCTAAATGACCTCTAAATTCCTAACTGCAGTCTATATTGTTTTCCTGAGCTCCAGATTCTTTCACCTGTCTACAAACTTTACATCTCCATTTGGATGCCCAAATCTTTAGATGATGGAGAAATACATATTGCTCTGTGGCTACAAGACAAGAAATGTAGGGCTTAGATGATGAAGTAAAACCAGATTTGGAAGAAGAGACTTCTTGACTGAGTTATTTTGGGGAGCAGTCAGAAGAAAAAGGTGAATTGAACTTTAACCCACAGGTAAAAGAAAAGTACAAATAATATCCAGTATTTGTAAGATCGGAGGCTTACAAGAAGCTACTTGGAAAAATAGACAAATTAGTCAGAAAAGGCTAATTTAACTTAATAATATAATATAACATAATATAATGTAGATACTTTGTGAAGGAAAGGGAACATTTACTGGCCATCTAGTATATGTTGTCAGAGCTATAACTAACTCCTATGTTTTGGAGAGGGAAATGCTGCATATTTCTATTTGTTAAATAGACTCATTTAGCAAATGAATTGTGTGTTTTTATTATGAGAGGTTCTTGGAAACTGGATCTAAAAAAGGCTTTAAAAATGAAAGGTTGATAGATACTGGGGACATAGTAAGGGTATATCCTTAACTCCCCAGGCTGTTATGGAGAATAATCCATAAATAATGCTATTCAAAGTGTGGTACATCGTTTATTACCAGACCACAATAAGGCAAGTATAGAAATTTCTATGGCAATTCAATAGAATAATACTGAGTCTGCTGAATCAAATGAAATATTTTTCCTTCAGTCTTATCTCAGGATTCTGGGCAAGCATGCACATACTCCCAGTGTGATTTTCAATCTGCTGGGTCTGGGACTTGAACTACAGAGTCAGCATGTGGGATCCAGCACTTTAATCTCCTTGCCACCTGCTGGCCCCTCCTACTTACTTTTTGTTTATATAATTAAGAGAGGCCGTCTGCCACAGACCCAAGCATCCCTGCTGAGTGTACCAATCCTGAATACACTTTACCTGGGCCATTTCTCAGGGTTGTGTTTGCAGTGACCAACCTTGAAGGGTAAGATTCCATCTCCCCCCAGAGAGCAGGTCTGCTTCTGCTTGCTATGAAATCATTAGATTCCTCAGTGATCACCGCCCTATAATGCAGTCCACTGAATTAGGAGTTCTTCTAGGCCCACCTGTGAGGTACCCAAAGGATAATGCCAGAAGGGGGGAGAAGGTGAGGGAAGGGATCTGCCTTTACCCTGGATAATAAAATTGTCCCCTGCCTCTGACCCAGGAGCTGGTGTCTTCTGCCAGCGCTCATAAAACAATAACAGGCTTGCTTAGTAGCTTCCAATTAGGGTAAAATTCCAGACCCTTTACAGTTGTTGACACACGATGCTCATCACCATCCAACCTATTATATGCAGTACTCACTTAGTTTACTTTATTGGCTGTCTCCCATATTAGCGTGTAGGTGCCAAGGGGGCAGGGATTGTGTCTGATTTGTTTGTCTTATTTCCTTATGACATCGGTTACTTACTAATTAATACGTAAGACATCAGTTCTCCTTTTAGTAAGAATTAGTTATTAATGTCACTCATGAGAAAGTAAATATACAAAAAAATGAATTGAAATAAAAATAGTATGGCATAATATGCTGCCTTTATTATTTGGTTCTACCCAGACTATCCAGAGTCTGTACTTTTAACTATTACACTTAAGGCAGAATCAATAGTGAGTAATAAATGACTTAAGGGCTTGGAAAATTATGTAGCAAAAGTTCAGTAATATTAGTAAATCCTTAAATTCTCTAGCCCAATTAAACAATCCTGCAAGGAGACTGGAGGAAAAATATTTTACTTGATTCAGCAGACTCAATATTATTCTATTGAATTGCCATAGAAATTTCTAATGTTTTCTCTAATAATTTTCTGTCAGTCTTTTAGAAAAGAAGAAAACTACATCAAACAGGCTTATACCAAGAATATATTCATAAAATTAATTCTCACAGTATATTCTGAGATTGTTTGGCATGGTTTCATATATCTGTACTCAAATACTATATGCACTATAAAAATTAAACTAAAAAGAATTTGACAGCTTTTCAGGAAATCCATTCTAACCTATATGCAATGTACATTAACTCAAGTAAACATTTCCAGAAGCTTGGTTGATGGCCTACATGTAGATCTGTCTTACAGTGTTAAGCAGGACATCAGTCTATTTTGCTCAATTCTCCATGATGTTTTCATTTTGGTGAGGTAATAAAATACGCTGCTTAAGATAAATACCATGTAGAGTTAGTAATTAAATGGCAAACTCCCTGGGATACCTCCTGCCTCTACCACTTATTGGCAGTATATTTGCACTGCCTCATTTGTACAGTGGAGATACTACTACCTTAGAGGGTTAATGTGAAGAATAAACAGATCATGCATATAAAGCACTTAATATTGTTATAATGCCTGAAATATGCAAGTTCTCAAAAGACGCTAATTGCAATTATTTCATAATTTAGTCAATATAAGAAACGGCCTAAAGCCTTCTCTCTGCTGAACAATCCATAGTTTGAGTTTCTCCTCTTATTTATCATTATTGGGGATTTTTTTCTTCAGAGCTACTGTTTTTCTTATGCTGCAATAAAATAAGGGTAAAAAGAACAAGTAGACATGGAAACCAAGCCAAAAATGAGCAAACGTTAAATAGTTCTTAAAAGGTCAGGTGGAGAGGGAGCTAAATGGGAAAAAGGAATAGCGAATAGTGTGCCTGCTTTGTGCTCTGTTTCCTGGAGTTGAAGAAAGAGGCACCAGAGACATACATGAGTACCTTATCTGAGGGTTAGCTCTAGCCTTTGCAAGGTGCTTTTACATTATCTCACCAACTGTCTACACGGCTGAGAGTCTCACGATTACCTGTTTTTGGTGACTGTTGTCAAGGGGAATCCCTCTATTTGTATATAAAGATTTGACCAAAAAGGGCCTTACACTCCATATCACATTATTTTATTATATGAATCCAATGCCGCTTATTTAAGTATTGCATATCCTTTTTCTATATTATTCAGGTCAGGTCCCTCATTATTCCTTTTTCTCCTGTCTATTGTAAGTTGAACTAGTGAGTAAGATGGAGGAGAGAAGAAAACTTAAATTGTTATAAAATAATGTAACTATTTATAACATGCAGAATACTTAAAAGACTTAAATCAAGATGTAACATTTATGGATGCTCCAGTAAATTACCAGATAATTGAAACTAATGATTGAAGCTCTGTCCCCCTTATTAAGGATAAATGACATAACAAAAATTGCAAAAATGAATTCAATTATATTTTCAAATGTACAATTTATAAAACACACTTACTTTCCAAATCTCAACACGCCTGAAACGTAAGTCTGCCAATGAGCACAATAAAACATGAACATCCCAATAAATGAGCAGAAAAACAACCAGTCAGGATGAGTTCCTAAGCGAACAGCGATTGAGGCGCCAACTGCCATAAATACTGAAAGAAACAAGGTTTAAGAACCATTAAGAATTAAAAATAATGAATGAAATAACTGTCCTGGGATGTTTAGAGATAGAGTTTTAAGGGACATAATCCTGGCATGAAAATAAGGCACACTTAACAAAATGACTGATTGAATACATGGTGTAAAATTCTTCCCAAAAGTTCAACTATGTGAAATATCAACCAAACAGCTCAGTTCATTTAAATGTTTAAGTTATTAGTATCAAAAAAGAAAAAGAAAACAATAAATAAAACAAACTAGGGGTAAAAAACCCTCCACCAATTTACCTGTGGAAAGAGAGTCACAACCATGGTCAAAAAGTTCTCCTAATGGAGAACAAGAATTTGTTCTTCTGGCTTGTTTTCCATCAATAGCATCCAGTGACTGGTAGATAAAGAGCCCCAGTGCACATAAAAGGTATGTCCAGTATGGTGCCTAAAAACAAGTGTAAAGAATAAAGACTATTAAGTGACAACCAGCTAGCTTCTGTCTGAAAATAGCTCCCCCTAAGCCCATCTACATATTTTCTTGTGGTCACAGCTTATATTGTCTTGGTATGTTATAAAGAACATTTTTTTTGAGAGTTCTTTTTTTTTTTTTCTTTCTATATAGCTCGTGCACTCTCCAGAAAGACAGAGACAGAAGACAGAAAGCGAGAAATCACCCCTCCAGGGGGATGGCCACGCCACAATCCCTTCTCCTCCATTCTCCTCTTGGGATCTTGGGCATGCGTGCACATGTGCCTGGCGTAAGTTTAAGCCACTGGGTCCATGCTAATCTTCTCTGTATTGTTCCAATTTTAGTATATGTGCTGCCGAAGCGAGCACAACATTTATAACCTTCCTTCTACACTGGAAATTAAATTGGGAAATTTAAAGAACTGCTGAAGTCATCTGGGTAGAGGGACACAGAAGTCCGTATTATGAGAGGCACAAAGTTGATGGTCAAGCAAGGAGTTATATTCCTGATCTTCATTTCTAGTCCTTGGCTCTTTAATTTATTCGTATTCACATGTGGCACAGGTTTGAAATTCCTCAGTAAGTCTTTGCTATGAAAAAATCTTAAAGGCAAATTGCAGATTTCTGTTGGCACTCATGATGGAGTACCAGGGACTGGATTTACTCTCACACCTTATATAAAGAGAAAGGCAATAGGGGCCAGCAGGTGGCATGGTGATTACGATGCTGGACACCCACATGGCCAACAAGTTCGAGTCCCAGACCTGGTGGCTTGTTTCTCTCTCTCTCTCTCTCTCTCTCTCTCTCTTTCTTTGGTGAGCTCATGTGCCCTGTAGAAAATGTAAAAAGTAATAATAATAATAATGATAAATAAAATAATTCTTTAAAAATAGAGAAAGGCAATAAAATACAAAACAACAGTTCTCAGATATGTTGGCAGAACAGGCCTGTGATTTCAGACAAAAAGAAAAAAAAAAACAATTAAACCCCACAAACTCTCAATTAAAAAAAAGTGATTAAAAAAAAAAAAAACTACCAATTTACTTTTGGAAAGGGTCACAACCATGGTCAAAAAGTTCCTCTAATGGGCCAGAAGATGGCATAAGGGTTAAGGCTCTGGACTCCCAAGTGGCTAACCACAGTTCGAGTCCTGGACCTAGAGGTTTGAAACCCACACCCGGCATGTGTGTATTTCCAAAATTCTAAGAGAAGGGATTGTGCTCCCTGGGGGGTGATTTCTCATTTTCTGTCTCTCTGTCTTTCTGGTGAGCACATGCACCCTATAGCAAAATCTATTTAAAAAAAAAAAAAAGGAAAGAAAGAAATAAATTTTTACGACATACAAAAATGAAATAACTCACCTAGAATCTTTTGAAAGAATCCCAAAGTGTTTAGCAGAGAGTAGTCTTAACTCTCTGCTTTATATATATATATATAAAATAAAAGAGTATACAACATGGTGTTGTGGGATATATATGGACAGTAGAGGTTCCTATAAGTGAAGTAAATACACATATCCATCATCTCAGTTATCTCTTATTTTTATTTTTGTGACAAAAGCAGCTAAAATCTATTCATTCAGTATGAATGTTATATACAGTACAATCTCTTTTTATTTTTTCCTTTCTTCTTTCTTTTCTTTCTTTTTTTACTTTTCTTTTTTCCTTTCTTTTCTTTCCTCTCCTTCCCTTTCCTCTCCTTTCCTTTCCTTTTTTCTTTTTCTTTTTTTTTTTTCTTTTTTCTTTTTTTTTTTGCTATAGGGTGTGTGTGCTCTCCAGACAGAAACAGAGAGAAAGGAAAAAGTAAGCAATCACCTCCTGGGAGGATGGCCATGGGACAATCCTTCTCCTCTATTTTCTCCTTGGGATTTGGAACACACACACAGACACACACACACCCCCAGCATATTCCTCAAGCTTCTATGTCTGGATCTCAAACCGCAGAGTTAGCCATAAGAGATCCAGCACCTTAACCACCATGATGTCCACTGGCCCTATACAATTCTTCTTTTTTTTTTTTTAAAGAGAGATTTTTACTATAGGGCATGTGTGTTCACCAGAGAGAGACAGAGAGACAGAAATCACCCCGCCCCCGGGGGGGGGGAATGAACATGCCACAATTCCTTCTCCAGTCTCCTCTTGTGATTTTGGGCACACATGCACATGTGCCTGGCATAAATTTTAAGTCACCTGGTCCAGGACTCAAAATGACCGTCGACTACATGGTAGTCCAGTGATGTAACCATTATGCCATCTGAGGGTCTCCCCCCCGCCATTTTCCTCCTCCTCCTTTTTGTAAGAGAGAGATTTTTGCTATAGGGTGCATGCACTCACTGAAAAGACAGAAAGCAAGAAATCACCCCCCAGGGAGGACGGCCACACTGCAATCCCATCCTCCCTTCTTCCTCTCAGGATTTTGGGCATATAAGCACACACACCCAGCATGAGTTTCAAGTCACTGGCATGGAACTTGAACCTTGGTTGACCATGTTGGAGGAGTCCACTGCACTAACCACTACACCATCTGCTGGCCCCTACAGTACAATTTTATTATCCATACTCCTCATGTTGTACATTAGATCTTTATACTCACTCATCCTATGTATTTCCTGGTCTGTTTCCTTTGGCCTACGCCTATCTCTCCATTCCCGACACCTCCCTGCCCTGACCCCTGACTGTTCTGTTCTCTATTTCTACTTGAATTTTGTTGCTTTTCTTTTTTTTTTAGATTTAACATATAAATGACATCATGTGATATTTGTCTTTCTATGCCTATTTCATTTAACATAATGTCCTCCACATTCATCCATGTGTGGCAAATGGCAAGATCTCGTTCTTTGTTAGGGCTGAATAACATTCCATTGTATAAATGTACCAGATTCTTTTTATCCATCCATCCATTTAGAGACACTTAAGTTACTTCCATATCTTGGGTATTGTGAATAATGCTGCAATAAACATAGCGCCGGTATGTTTGTAAGGTGATTCCATTTCTTTTTGGTATACACCCAAGAAGAGGGATTATTGGTCATATAGTAGTTCTATTTTTAATTTCTCTAGAAATATCCATATTGTTTTCCATCATAGTTGTACCAATCTACATTTCACCCCAAGAAAGTACAAGGGTTCTCTTTCTCTGTACTCTAGCCGACATTTGTGATCTTTTGACATTTTTTCCTTTTTATGACAGAGCAGGGGAGGGAGAGAGAAAGGGAAAAGGGAAAGGAAGACAAAGCGAGGTTATTTCCTGACAGGGTCTTGCTGTATCCTGATCCTCCTGCCTTAGCTTCCCAATTACTGGGTCATCAGGGAAGTCATGACACAACATTTTTGCATAGAAAAATGTGTCATGACTGCCCCAATGACCTAAGACGTAGAAAAACAAGTGTCCACAATCTTACTCAGTGTAGTCAGATTGATTCAGTAACTAACTTGTGACTTCCAGTCTTCCATTCGGTGAGTGCCACAGATTTTGGGCCATCTTTTGACTTTTCCTAGAGGGTATGTGGTGTACCTCACAGTGTTTGTTCTTGCCAGAGGATGCATGCACTCACCAGAGAGAGAAAAAACACTTCCCTCAATGGGGTGTGGTCACACTGCAACCCCTTTTACTCCCTTTCTCCATCCTGTCAGGATTTGGAACACAAACAGATGTGCACCCAATATGTTCTTCAAGCTGCCTGATTGAGCTTTATACTGCAGTCAGTTTTCTGGGACCCAGCTCCCTTACCCACTATGCTACAGTGCTGGCCCACATAGTGGTTTTGCTTTTCATTTCCCTGATGATTAATGGTGTTGAGCAAGTTTTCATATACCTGTTGGCTATTTCTATATCTATTTTGGAGAAATAGCTATTCAGATCTTTTGCTCATTTTAATTTTTAAAACTTATTTATTTAAAGGCAGTTTTAAAATAGAGTCTGTTTTAAAATATAGCCATGTAAAGTATAGGTATTTTGAATAATGCTTTTTCAAAGTTTATTTATTTATTTATTTCATGAGCAAAAGAGATAAAGAGACAGAGAGATGGCACCTTCAAGAGCCTCAGCCAACCCCAGATCATGGGTACACAGGTGCCTAGCATTCTTAGGAAGGTCTCCAGACAAGAACCTCCTGTGTGAATTAGCTTTACAGTTCATTCAATTTAACTACTGTGCTACCATCTGGCTCCTGCTCATTTTAAAATCAGGTTATTTGGTTTTCTAATATTGAGTTGCATGAGATCTTTATAAATTTGGATATCGATCCCTATTATATATATGATATGCAAATATATTTTTCTAATCCATAAGTTACCATTTCAGTTTGTTGACTAGTTTCTGTGCTGTACTGAAGCTTTTCAGTTGGATGTAATCCCATTTACTTATTTATTTACTTTATTTTTTCCATGAGAGAAAAAAACAGAGAGCAAGAGAAAGACACCCCAACAGGGTCTTGATGCCACAGTTCTCCAGTCTCATTCACATTGAAATAAATTCAGTTATTTCTTGACAAGAAAGTTGGTGGTGGTCTCTGTCCAAAATGACATCCTGCCCTCATTTAGAAAAAGAAGATGAAGAATATTTATTCACTAGTTTAAAACTACTTCATTAGGATACTTGAAGAAGAAAGAATTAAATAGGGGAAGAGAAACACAGGGAGAGTTTAAGCAGCAAAAAGAAGTTGTCTACATGGAACCAAGGTAAGAGCCTGAAAGTGAAAAGGTCATTCATGAGTCAGTGGCTGATACACATTTCTGGAACTGAAGATTCACAGGTTGTTACAAGAGATAGGACTGCAAAAAGTAATTTAATTTTAGACAGTACAACAGAGTACATTTTTATGTATTATTTTATTTGATATAGAAATGCAAGATGACAGGGTAGCTATTATCATGTTCTTTTTATTAAAGATGAAAGCAAAGTAGTAAGCATTTGGAAGGGGTTCAGGCGAGCAGCTAGGCTGGGTTCAGAATCGAACCAGTGTTTCTGACTTCCCTA